TGAAATAATTCCATTAAAAAATTATTCGTATGAAAAATTAATTTTGTGATCAGTGCTACCCAAACCACTACTACTACTATTTACACCATAGACTTCTATGCATACTTTTTTCCCGCGAGTTTTAATAGAATTTGTTGCCAATAAACATCAATGGCGTAATAATACACACAATGGCGTAGCGAACATAACTGGCACCCGGGCCGCGACAATATATTGGCGCCCCCTCTCCCTCCAGAAACAAATCTTTTTCTTGGAAATCATGCAAACCCCTCTGCGAGTGGCGCCCGGGGCAAGCTGCCCCACCCTCTGTTGAGAGGTTTTCTTCGTTTGTGGGCGATAGGAAATTCTGAAGTTCCTCGAGGTCAGGNTATTTTCTGTTCCGAGTTATTAAACAATATCTCAGAATGGGTAAAGTTTAAGAAACAAAATTTGGCACTGTAGCTTGCGTATAAAGGGGCATTAATACTATTAAATTTTAATTTTTAATTAATGGTTGACAGGATGAAGACCTAAAAGTGGTCATGTGTCATGTTTCTTAATGAATATTTTACTCGTTATTAGCATTCAAAATTTAAAAAAATAAAATAAAATAAAACTCGTCTCTATCCTCAAAGTAAGCTTTTTAGCCATTTTATAATAGCACAGTAAAACCCGTTAAGATGTTCTTGCCTAAAAGAGCCCATACTCGTTAAGTTAATCCTTTGAGGATTAACCATGCATGCCTGACCTTTATAATTCCTGGTAGTGTGTGGGGGGAAATTTAACAGTTTTGGCGAACTGTACCAACCACCGGAGTAGAATTGAAAAACCATTTGATTTTCCTGCCGACCTAAACGTGTGTGAGAACAATGTCTCGTGAATGTTTGGAAGAATTATTTTCTATAATCTTATTAACTTTTATTATTTATAACTTAATAAATTAATTTTTTACGTTATAAATTATTTTCAGATAAAAAATTTCTTGAGTAAATTAAAATTATAAATAATTTTAATATTTAGAAAACTTCTCAATTCATTTCTTCCGTTTTCATAAAACATCTTGATACTCTTTATCATTTTCTTCTACATTTTAAAAAATTTATTGTTTTAATATCCAAGTAAATTAAAACATGACAACTTAAAATAAGACAAAGTTTAATAAATTCTTTTTAATTATTAAATTATAAAATTAATTTGCGATAATAATGTTTACAATTTGTACTAATATCGGATGTGGTTGAGAATTATTAATATATATTCGTCTATAAAATTTAATCCATGAATTTTTTTTTGGTAGTAAAATCGACTTGCCATTGTCTTTCGCTGATAATTGATGCTTTTTAACATAATCTATAGCCCAAGATTTCTCTTGAAAAATTAATTTTGTGATCTGAAATAATTCCATTAAAAAATTATTCGTATGAAAAATTAATTTTTTGATCAGTGCTACCCAAACCACTACTACTACTATTTACACCATAGACTTCTATGCATACTTTTTTCCCGCGAGTTTTAATAGAATTTGTTGCCAATAAACATCAATGGCGTAATAATACACACAATGGCGTAGCGAACATAACTGGCACCCGGGCCGCGACAATATATTGGCGCCCCCTCTCCCTCCAGAAACAAATCTTTTTCTTGGAAATCATGCAAACCCCTCTGCGAGTGGCGCCCGGGGCAAGCTGCCCCACCCTCTGTTGAGAGGTTTTCTTCGTTTGTGGGCGATAGGAAATTCTGAAGTTCCTCGAGGTCAGGCAGCCTCAAAGGATTAACTTAACGTGTATAGCCACCTTAAGATGTTAGAATGTATATGGGGACACGATTTAGTTCAACCACTTTAACGCTTAATAACTAACACCTGTGTTAAACCATCTGAATCAGATTCTGACCATTCTGACTACAGAAATTATTAGGCTTCAAACAGGGTGAACAAAATAATGACCCCCACACAGTCTAACATCCACACATATAGAAAAAACCTCGAATGTTTTGTATATCTCGAAATTTCAAGGTGTCCCGTGTCCAAAAATGTAAAAATTTGGAAGGGGACATTTTTTCAGCAAGCGCTACACTATTCCTCTGTTATATATAACAGCTGGAAAAGTAAAAATTATAAAATACATATTTATATATTACTTAGAGAAGTCTTTTAGCTTTGGAATAAAAAGTTTCTACGCTCTATCTTTATTAGAACTCTATTTATTGAATCTATTTATTCTGAGGTCACGTGATGACATCAAAATTTCCGGGTTTCTTTCGGTAACAAATCCGCCTCTGGTCGGAGTCGGAGTCGGTAGATTTTTACGCGACTCCACAGCCCTGGTTTTTTCATCTGTACTCTGGAAGATTTCTAGTTCGTTTTCGAGATGCGTTACAGTATTTCTTTTGCCGTCTAGTATTCTTGATTTGTCTATCTCGACTGCTTATTAGAAGCATCAAGCTTACAACCCGATAATTCGGCAGTTCGTTTGGCTTTAATAATCAGGTTTATGAAGAAAAACTTCATACTTGCATACTTCGTACTCGTTTGCACCCTTGTCCAATTTGCACACCCTTGCATAAAGTGCAGTTATTGAAACTACTGGGCATGGTTAAAAATTAAGACAGAAAAAGCACAATTATTCCAGATATTACAGGTTCTGACACGTAAAGATTTTTCAGAGTCCTGTCACAAATAAGCTACATATTGATTATTGACAATCTGTGACATGTCATAAGCAAAAATTTATAGCAAAAATAAGCAGGCTTAAAATTAATCAATACAAATGTATTCTGACGGGTTAGGAGTTTATTATACTTTCTATTTGCAAAATATTCTCAACTTTAACACAAGATAAGAAAAAAGTGAATTTTTAAGAAATTTTCAGGATTTCCCGAGATGACAAGAATTTCCCGGTTGAAAAAACAGCCGGGATCCCGTTGGAGGCCTAATTGTAGTTATATCAAATCTTCGAAGTGACAGACAACTGACCGCGCTTCTTAGGGTGATACTGAGTGGTGTTATTAAGCGAAATGACTACATTGTGACGTCACTTAACGAACCATCTGCAAGAAATGCGATACTGAACCTCATGGCGTTCTCATTGACAACTATGCTTTACTGAAAGTTTGATGCAAATTATTCGAGTCTAGACGACTATCGAATGTATACTTAATTACTTAATCCCGGGGTTTCGTTAGCATATGACAGACGTCACATGGTAACGAAACCAGGGAGAAAGGATCATTTCAGATCCTTGAAATAGTCATGGATCAGTAAGCTGTCGTTAGTTGAGGAAACATTAATCCAAGACCGCCGGTTTCGTTATCCCTAAAGTAGAAACTGCCATTAAGGCATGATACCAACATTTCGAATGATAGCAACACTTACAAAACTAGAAAGGAAGACTGTAAAGATACAAATTGTTGCATTTATGTCTGGAGTTTGCACAGAAGCAGTAAGCATTTTCAATACTTTTTCGGAAGAACAAAAAACTATCCTGGAAAAGTTAGTTGAAGCGTTTAAGGGTTATTTTAAATCCAATGGTAAATTCTTTCATACGCAATGTGAACATTATGTATGAAAGGTTTGTGTTTAACAAAATTGTTCAACGGGTAAACGTAAACTTCGTTGATTTTCTGACAGCATTGTTGAATAAGTGTACAACTTGCGAATTTGGTATCTTTCATGATAGCCTGATCACAGACAGAATAGTAGTCAGTGTTTTTAGTGAAATTTATAGTGAAAAGCTCCCTGCTGAGCAAAAATTTAACGCTGGAGAAAGATGTTAAAACTTACAGAGTTTGTGAACAAGCTTGTAGTAAGTTGACTACTATGAAGAGCGAATAACTCAATGTAAAAGCTGCAAAACGTAAGCAGGAACCTAAAGGCAAAAAAGCCTCAAAATGTAAAAATGCTAAATAGAAAAATGCGTACGATCTTAAATCCATATGTTCGAAGTGTGGAACTATACATGGTCGGGGTTTCTTGTATTACTTATCATAACGAAATTAACGATTATATGTGATATTGTTATCGTCTTCATGTCGCTGTACTGCCGAGCGGTAATAATCAACGTCATGTGGGAGCGGTTGAGTCAGAAATCGATGCCTCATTTACAAACAACACAACCCGTTTATTAGACAATTCACTTACAAAAAATTCTATAGTCACGAAGGATTGAAGTCCTTGTATACTTCGTCCTTGTATACATAGTCTTTTAAGAAGAAGAGGAAAGTCTGACGACGAAAGTGGTTTCCTATCGCTGACCAAATGTTGCATTCACATTCCAGTTGTCGAACAGGAAACGATGTCCAGTGAGTGCAGATCGGAATTTCCGAAGTTTCTCTCAATGAAGGTCTATAAATTTCGAAGGATACATCGGCAAAGAAGGAAGGTGGAATCTTACGGGAAGCACCCCAGCGAGGGACATAACTTCGTGGGACGCCACGACAAAAAACGAGTGTCTTTGTTGCCTGGGCTTAAATATCTTCCTGTCTCGCAAATTGTCACTTTATTCGTCATTAATTCAATCCTCTTTCTCGGTTCGAGATTAGTCTTTCTCGGTTACCGGGTAAAATTGGACCAGATCAGTTCCCGAGAAAGACAATTGTGTATGAATACAATTCGACACCGTCTTTCGTTCGGTGTTGAACGAACCCTGTATATTAACTAACATGTCCTTTTTTTTCGTCTTGTCTTATAAAATATTTAATTTACTAATTTTTCTTTTTTCGCTTTGTTTTAATATTAAAATAATTTTATTTTTTCCTTTTCCTTTATAATTTAGTTCTCTTATTCCCGTAATTTTAATTAATCGCGAAGATCAAGATTCGTTTTGTTTAGATTTTTGGTGAAAAGAATGTTTTTCATCCCAGCCCAGAGTCTCACACTAGTGATCGCAAATAGTTATTCAAGATACTAATAATTTATGTAAAACAACTATAATCTATTATATATATATTTAAATACTCAATAATATATGTAAAACAGTTATATGAAAATTATTGAAAAAATTAAATAAAAATTAAAATTTTACTTTCATTCTGATGATATTTTTGCTGCAGCTATCGAACCACTCTTCTTCAGAAAATATTTCATCCAATGTTTCGCGTATTTGTTTGGAATAACTTTTCACCTAAAAATATGTCATAATACAATTTAATAAAAAATTTCATTTGCTATAAAGTTACATTATGAGAGTAAAACTACTAGTCTACCTCATTAATGTCGTCTTTTTTATTCATGGATTTTATCATCACGTAGTTCATTCCGATCACAGTATACATATCCATATCGTTAATGCAAGTTTTCCATTTCAATTTATTCATACCCGGAAGTTGTACTAAAGTTTCTTGATTGTAATTTAAAGATTCTCTCATGTCGATTAAAAGCTGTCTAAAATTGTTGTCGATGTAAGGCAAATAACGAACAATTATACCCCATACTTGAAAGTTGTAAATTATTCTGTTTAGAAGAATTGGTATCAATAAAAGTATACGTGTTCGGTTTCTAGTATTTAATTAAATATAAAAATTATTTTACTGATGTTAAATGTACTTTTTATAATTTTTTAATATAAAAAGAATGGTAAATTGCTTTTTTCATTCAAGGCTAGATAGCTGAGCAATGGGGGAAATTTTATATTACTGTAAAAATTCATTTTTAAACAATTCCGAACAGTTACGCTTTTATGGGAATCTCGTTCTCATTATTTATCTGTAATAAAACCTACATAATAGTTCCAAAGATTGAAATTTGCCCGAAATCTTTAGATGTGATGAAAATCAAGCATTAGGTTAACCATATATCTAGATAAGTATAAGATTGAAATAGGAAAAGCACTGGCATGTTGCTATAGAGGACCTGAAAGCAAATCCGAGTCGGCTTATAAATTGTCATGGCTGCCTTGACTGGAAATGATGAAGCCCACCATTTTTTGCTATCCAGTTTTCTCTTGCGTGAACCGAGTTTCGTAACCTCGGAAACTTTGTAACAGATCTCACTCACACGTCAGGTTCCGTCTCTGGCACCTGCTACCTAACTTATGGGCCTAGCCGAATCCATGGTGACTATAGGAAAAAGGGTCTGTTTGTTTCTACAAAAAGAAAACAGTTTGAAACTAAATACATGAATTCAATTTTTGCAGGCACTTTTACAGGCCTGCAAAAGTGTTGTCTAGCGGAAAAAGTTTTAAACAGAATATTCATATAATAAGAAAACAAGTACACTCATATCCAGAACATAAGCGTAATCAGGGGCGGGTCTAGGTTTTTCGAGGCCTAAGGCTTATTGAAGTCTAATGGGAGCCCCTTTTTGTTAGATTAAAAATTTTTAAATCAGGTTTTAAAATTTATTTTTAATAACATCAAAATCAGAGTTGAAATATATATTTATTTATGAAATGGTTTTGAATGACAAACTTCATATCAATAAGTGCTCATTGTTAATGAAAAATTATTAAAAATTTGTGATAACAATTCAATTATTGTGGGCCCTTGACACTTGAGGCCCAGGGCTCATGTCCTATTAGTCCCTATGTAGATCCACCCCTAAGTGTAATTGTTCAATTCATACGATGAGCAAAATATGAACTAAACAGTGTAAAATTAATGTAAACGTTTCTAACAAATAAAAATACATAGCGTGTAATCAACATTTTTCATTAAAGCTCACAAATGTGTGTAAAATATGCAGCTCCATAAATACAGGAGTAGCACGGCATTGTTTCTATATTTGTTTAACCATTGACAATAGTTTGTCTTCCACGTCCCTTTCCTAGTTAACAGATACAGTAGACCTCGGTATAACGCGGTAGATATGTTCCGCTTTATACGAATTTCGCGTTGTAGGAATCCTTAAATACATGAGCCAATCACAGCCCGGCACGTGTGCAGTTTACGGACTACGGCTGTTTGAAAGGTTTTCTTTCATAAAATTAATCGATTCTAAACTATTCGACTCAACATTTCCAAAACAGGTATAATTTTTTTGGGAATAATCCGTATAAACTATTCTATAAACAAAAAATTGTAGAATTACTTACCGAGTGTGCACCGTTCGACGTCGCCATTGCTTAAGCTTGTTTTCGTCGCGGAGCAGCGCACCAAACGGCGGCCGCGATTTCTAATAAGTTATTTTTCTGCAAAAAAATTCGTTGAACTTTGGAAACATCATTAATATAAATAACTTTTATGGCCGTTGAAAAAGAAATGTTTCTTTCACAAGAAATGTATAAAATTACAGTGCTGTATTAGACTTACGGTACCTAATTTACATACTGTACAGACGATAGTAAACTCAACATACTCGCCTAAACTCTCCGTAGCGTGGCGCTGGACGGCGGAAAGTATATACATAATTATAATAAAGTTAAAATAAATTAGGTTAATATTGTACAGACGATAATAATACAGTACAGACGACAGTAAACTCAACTTACCCGTCTAAACTCTCCGTAGCGTGTAAGTAGTTCGGCTGCTCGTCTACTATTGGTCGATCAGCCGAACTATTACTTGACCAATCCTGTCGCGACACGAGTCGGCGATGACGTTTTACCGCGTTTTACGTGTCCCTTTTAGCGTCTTTATACGAAGACCGTCGCAATTTTTTCGCCGCGTTATAGGAATCCGCATTATGGGAACCCGCGTTATAGGGAGTCTACTGTGTTATCATAATAACACCACTCAAAGAGCCACTATTTGATGTCAACTCCTCGTCCTAACAGAATTTCTGGCAGACCACTCTGCCAAACTGTATATAGAATTAGTGTTAAGAGTTTAACAAAATGTTTACGGTAGGCTTCAGGTAGATGGTCTTTTTTCAAGATGCCAGTGCGTATTCCTCTGACCCATATGTACACAGAGAGCTCCTTTAAGATGGTGTAAAGATCATTAGCATTGTATTTTGAATGAATGGAGCAATGCTCTGTTAACTAACAAGTCCAAGTATAGTGTACAGAATAATCTTCGGATTAAGTTCTGAAGAAAGTAAAAAACGCAAAATAATCCCATGAAATCGTGCAAAGAGACAGTTTGCAGATGGTGGCGTTAGGGTCTAGAACGGCCATAATACCACAACCAGTAAAATGGTTGATAAAATGAATGAAAAACTCCAAAAAAATAATACTACTGTACAGTTATCTTTAATTTGAACATTCCATTTATTTTCACATACACAAATCGAGCTATAAACATTTTAACAATGAAAATTATTTTATATTTTAAATTAATTAATATCTTTAGTGTTTAATTATCGTATTGCTCGTTAAACTGAACTGATATTATTTTTCAATATACAATCATAACATAAATCTTAATTGATAGAAAAGTAAACAATATTTTATTTCATAAAATCTATTGAAAATTAATTCTATTAAATAGCTGACAGGTACTGTACCTGTAATTAGCTAAAATCAAAAATACGAGTAGTCTCAATTTTAATAATTACGTTGAATTGGTAACGATAGAATTAACCAGAACGGGAGATGGAAAGTTAGTCCCAATTATGAAGTTACTTATAAAATTCTAAATATTCGGATCAAATTCTAAACCAGATCCCCAGAAAGAAACGAACGATTTATTGTGTACTCAACAGTCTTTGACTCGATTGGTTTAAAGTGATTGTATAATAACTTAAATAATGTTTTCATGATAATAATTAAATGTTCTCACCTTTTATTTTTAGTGTTTCCAATAAGCTCACATAGGTCAGTCAAGAATTCCATGCTGTTTACTTTTAAAAAAATTTGATCATTATATTCTTCTGGGTGTTGAAGATATTCAAATAAAAACATGAACAGATTCTTCCAGTCGATCTGAGATTAAGTTATATAATAATTAGAGTTAATAGACATAAAATTATTGCTATTTATAAATTTGTTCTACCTGTGAGCAGTTGGAATGTAATTCTGATATCGTTGTATTCGTTGAATTTGACGTTAACACGACCACCCTATTTGGATCTTCAAAGAGTTTATCTATAATCTACACAAAATTTAAAATTATTTTTGAGTATGAATCCAATTTAAAATTTCAATTTAATTAACAAATATCAATATTTCTATTTACTCTTGCTACAGATGTTTGAAAATTGATTATTTCATCAATATGCTTCTTCTTGTTTTCTATTGACAAATCTAACTCAGAAAGTACATAGTCTATCAAATGTACATATCTTTCTTTAAATTTATTCCACTTTTCTTCAGTTGTATTCAATAACACAGCTGGTCTAATTATATTACTCTCAACATATATCTGTAATTGGATGAAATGGAATCTTTACAGTATAACATTTTACTATATATATTACATTACATCAATTAATATAATTTATAATTAGTATAAATGTAAAATTGCACATTAATTTAGTTAAATTTATTAACTTAATTAGCTTTCAATCTTCAGGTGAAAACAAGCCACGTATCAGAACCGATTTTCTGATAGTGACGTAAAGGAAAGTCTCTAATACCTATTTTCCTAATCTTCCTAGCGATTTATTTTCTAAAACACTTATTTCTTAATGTTTTATTTACAGAAGTTAAAACGAAACAGAATAATAAAAACGATTGCTGTTCATTTTTCGAGAGACAATAATTTCAACTTTAGCTCATATCATTAAATTCTAAAACATTTCTTAACAGAAAAATAGACGTACTGTACTACACATTTATCATGAAGTACATCATGCAGCACATACATCATATAGTATATATAAATCTTCCCACTGAATATTTGAATAATTTTAAGACTGAATACACATTTTACATAAAATTGATAAATGCACAATCAGTATTATTACAGACAATTTTATAGAAAATAGTTTGAATAAGAAACTAATAATAAACCTATTCTAAAATGATACTTTTCAATAATAATGAAAATTTAAAATCATTAAAATGAAATTTTCTTTACTGTAAGATTTGTCTTTTTAATCAAATATTTCTGCACTTTGGCCAATACGACCATATTTATATTTGTCGTTATGAATTTATCAATTTCTCAATGCAATTATTTATTTTCAATACAAAATGGGAAATGATGTCGCAATTTGAAATATTCAAGAAAAGTCAAGAATGCAAACTTTAATCTACATAGAAATAGCAAGATATCTCAAAAATCGCTCTAATTACGGTAGATGTTTATCTGTCTGATTATGTATATCATAATGTGCCTAACATTGTCAACACAAGGTTAGGTACAGAGCCGTTAAGCTGGATGTTTACTTTTCTGCAAGCAGAACGTCCTGTTTAGCAAGCAAAATACACTTTTTAAACAATACGATTTTTTAAATTAATTTTTTTAATAAAAATATGTCGAACTTTTGTCTGTTTAAAAATTTTTTATTGTGAATTATAAAAACAAATACGATTATCAGAGAGACAGGAGTGTTTTTACACAAAATAAAAGAAAAACAGCGCGCCTCTGCGCAAAAATTAAAAAAAAAATATGGGAATTGTAAATTATTTTTTTAAAAATCCGGGCCTCGGCGCTTGTTATTTTAAAATTAATTTAGTCGTCTTGATGTTATCACATTGTAAACCAGAAGCGATTTTTCAAGTCCAGCTACAGTGTACAGAATAATCTACGGATTAAATTCTGGAGAGAGTAAAGAACGCAAAACTGCCGTCCGGGTCAGCAATTCAGAAAAGGTGGCAACGCTAGACATACCGTTGTGATTTTTGTTCCTTTACTTTCGAAATTAAGCTTTGTTTGGTGCTCGGAATACAAGTATAAGGTAAAATTTATTTAATACTGTAATTTTAAAATATTTATCTGTTAAATAGTGTGTTGACATGTGAGTTTTTTAGTTTGTATTCACTGATCAAGTTAAACAATGCCAAACTGTTGTGTGGCATATTCTCTAAGCATCCTACTCTTAGGAGTAAGTGGATTCATGCCTGCAAACGAGAAGATCAGTTGAAAATGAAACAGTTTGCAGTGCTCACTTCCTTATGATCTTCATGTCCAGTAGCAGTTGACAAAGATGCTGATGAATACCTTACATCATTTCCTTTCACTGGATTAATTCCTAGTATGGAAGAAGCACTTAAGATGATTGAAGGAAACTCAGAGGTGCAAGAAATGACTAGAAATTTCTCCATCTTGTCTATCAGTATTCAAGGCTTTTGGCCATTTTGTGCTTTCTGAGCGGTAAAGTACCTAAAAACACAACTAATGTATCTATGGCTGAATGCTTCGAACAAGGACTGCGCTACTTAGCTGGTTACATTGCTCATTGTTGCAAGCCAATAGATATGTCTCTTGGTCATAACAGGGAAGAAATCAAGCTCTATTCACCTGAATTGAACAATGACTAGATAGAAAAGTTGTCTCGATGTGGCTTGATAATGCCGATAGATAGCTGGCTGAACACTTCAAAGTAATTGGAAGTAACATTTTCGCTGTTTATTGGAAACAATATTTCCAAAGTGAGCAATGTCGTTAAAGGCCTCTGCAAAAAATTTTATTAAAGAAGCATTTCCAAGTAATAAAATTGTATATCAAAACAAGACTTTTTATAAGGATACGTTATAAAAATGCAGGAAGCAAAATCCAAAGGTCCGCCAAACAACACCAAAAAAAAAAAAGGCAAGAAAGTGACAAGCTTCATATGCTTGCACATCCAGACATTAAAAAATTTTAAATTATACAGTAGAGTGTCGATTTTCCGAAACAATTGGGGACTGTGGTTGTCCGGATAACTGATATTTCGGATAACTGATTTACGTACGAAAAAATAGTTTAACGTATCCGATGTCGAAATTTTTATCCGTTGCGTGTCGCTTCGCGTTGAATTTTCGTCGATGTTAAGCCTAACGAAGACTATTGTATCGTTAAAAATTATTTTTTTATTTTGTACCAACAAAATAAATTTATTGAAAAATATAAAAATAATAAAAAATTATACTTCAGATGTTAATTTAGTATCAAAAACGTAAAATATTTGAGTAGCCCAAGACGTAGCCAAAGATTGAAGCGCTACAGCACTGACGAAAATTTAAATTTGTCGACTGGAATTCTTTCGGATGATTGACGTTTCGGATGATTGACTTTCGGAAAATCGACGCTCTACTGTATATAGCTCTCTTGATGCAATGTTTTGCTTAAACCAGTATATATACACTGATGTTATTTAATATCTAGCTCTATAGCTAAATCTATTGTAATACCTCCATTAATTTTGTATTGAATAAAAAAGCAAAAAAGTACAGTATTTTGTTACTTGTGACGCATTGGTATTTTTTTAAAACTTTATTTTGTAGAAGAAACATATTTATAACAAAATAAAAGTTCTAACAATCTTCACAGTTTATTAACCGTTGTTTGAGTTTTGCGGTGCATTCGTTTCTCTAAAATTGCGTTTCTGACATAAACAGCACATGCTACAAAGCGGCACTGAATCAAGTTCCTCGATGGTGAGGTCATGCGCAGTGACATTTTTCTCGCTAGAGCGAGTTGCGTTACCTTATCTCAATATACGTTGGTAATAACCGTCGATGGTTATAATGTAAGCTTATATATGCTGGAAGTGGAAACCGAAGCGGTGATCCAGATAGCGTAGCCGGCAATGGTAAGCAGGAGTAGTTAGTTCATGATTAGATTTAGTTAGTTAGGAGTAGTTAGTTAGATTTTTTTTTCTTCGAGTAGTTCTAAATTATTTAAATTTTTAATTCAAAATTATAATTATTAAAGTCATTAACACGTCGCGCCTAACGCCTTCCTCTAATGCCAAATTATTTGCATAATTTATTTAGTTATATAGCCGTTTCAAGCCGATAGCATTCGACATTCGTTGGTGTTTAATTATAATATTAGTTTATAAGAAAACAGTTTATTGATAACGTTTTAGATAATTACTAGAAATTCTTAAAACTTATAGTAACCAGTACTATTACAGTTACAGATAATTACCCGTATGTAAGAGATATTTGGACTACTACGAAATCTAAACAGATTTCCAGTGCCATCGTACACGTATGACAATACCATAGCTTTCTCCATTGTTAATTTTGAATTATCGTTTTCAGACAGAGGCCAGCCGTCTAAGTTAGCTGCACTTAAAATTTCATGAATTGCCTCTTTTGTGTCACTAGCTGTAATTCAAATAGAGAATTATTAATTATTCTCATTTAATTAATTTATTAATTTAAAATCAATGTAATACGTACGTTTATTTAAACACGATTGATAATATTTCTTTACTTTTTTGACGAAAGCTGGATCATCGAAATTCTGTGGCTTTTCCAATTGTTCTGTATTTGTATTTATTACACGTAAATTACTATTCCACTTATTAAAATTACTATTTAAAATAAAATATTACTTGCCTTTTATTAAATAAATGATATAGTTTTTTAAATTTGTAAAACTACGAATTTTATCATCGTAAATATTTTCGTATTTTAGATAAGAACCGCATGAAAATTCGTAAAAGTTGTCGCATGGATTTACGGTGAAGTCCATATTCTTCAGAATGGAACCAGCTGAAATTATTAAGACTTCTCTAAACAAAGTACATCGAGTTTATTAAAATGAAATGTTATTTAATTATAGTTTTTTATTTTGTTTCATTATGGTTTGTACAATGTGTTTCATCTATTTTAGTGAATCAAATTTAAAATTTATAGCTCTTAAATACTTCAGCATTTCTTACGGAAATTGAAACGAAAACACTAAAACAAAAAATAATTGGCTGTTGGTGGTATATTCACTATTAAATCAATTGACACTGACTCTATTGTATATTTTCTAAATGGCATTTAAACTAATACCTAAAAAATAGTTACTTCTTACTTCTTTCTTAAATAGATTTAACTAGTAATTGTGTTAACTGTAACTGTATACAGTATTTTGAATTGAAAATGTGTTCGAATGTGTAAAATCTTAATATGAATTACTTACAAAACATATTTATTTGATTTCGGTGACCTGTAATTTCGAGTCATGTTTGTCTTGTCCTTCTTAGCACAAACGAGAAACAGAAACAGTTGAAATCATTTATTACATAACAATACTAATTCGTTATATAGCTTATTAGAGGAATCTTATCTTCTTGTCTGGTCAATGTGGTATAGAATTTTTGTTTTTGAAAATATATATATAATACTAATTTAGTAATTAAATAGAAATTATATTCGAAATTCACAATAGCAGAATAAACAATCATATAGTAATAGTATATAAAGAAAAATAAGTCTCACCTGAAAATTTGCATACGTTATTTAAGCAAACATCTTTCTTTGATTTTTGAAATACATCTATAAAAAATTAATAATTTTAAGAAATAAATCTATATCTATATCTATATATATATATATATATAAATGGACATGTATGTCCCTATATTTCACTTTTCCGCCAAAACTACACATCGCACGTGAATGGTGTTTGTATGTGGTGGTAGCCCCAAGTCTCCATTCGTGCATAGGGGTGGTTGCGTCTCGATAGCTATAATGGTGCGGGAGATATGAGGCTGAAAGTGGTTGAAAGTGGCTTTCTATTTCGAATGTTTTGTTCGAATTTGTTCGAATTAAATTCGAACATAAAATTCGAATATTGGTTCGATTATAGAACGATTTTGAACGTTCCAGAAACGTTGAAAATAGTTCGTTTGACTAAACGTAAAAACTCTCTAATTAGTCTGGGAACGGGGGACCTAATTCTTCCATTTTGTGAAAACGGGTAAGATTAGCTATAATGTAATTATCTTAATCTTCACTATCGTTACTTTTTGCCCAGCGAAGCGGGTCCCTGCAGCTAGATTCTAGATTACTTAGAAAAACAGTCTTTTATATAGACCTATATATAAAAAACTATATTACATAAAAATAAAAACCCAGCGAAGCGGGTCCTTGCAGCTAGTAAATATATAAAATTTTCTTATATCTGATACGATTTAATTACACATAAAATAAAAGTGTTTATTTATGATATGAAAATTATGATAGGTGCTATTAAACAATAATTTGTACATGGATAATTAACTTGTAATAAAATAATAGCGATATCATTTTGTCTTGGACTATCATAGAAAAAAACATTCGTAGCGACAGTTTTCCTGTAAAAACAAACGCAGAAATAGTGAAGTAATACAACAGAAGTTCCATATTTGCAAATAGTTATATTCTTCTGCAAAACCGCCACCGTTAGCTAACGATTGGAGGATTAATAAAAATAATTAAAAGTGAATTTTTAATAATTAAAAATTTACGTTTAATCATTAATTGATAAATTAATAATTAAAAGCGAAAAGACATTTTCATACAAAAATTGTATAAACTATTTATTTTATAGCAAAAGAAATAATAATTATTACATTCTTTGGGAGTAAGCACAAAATTGCTACATACAACTTATTACACGGAAACACTTTTTGATGAATAACAGACTTTATTCATGAATAACATACGAAATAAAGGCTATATGATTCAAATAACAAAATCATATAATTACAACTCTATTATACCGATTATCAATCAAAAAAACAAAAACATTTATATTATTCCGAAAGAACAAAAGAGAGAACAAGAAGCAATCGAGTACTAATAATGATTACAGTTTGCATGTACAGTACAGTAATACCCCGAACTTACGCGATAGGTGGGACCGAGCGGTAACCGCGTAAGTCGAATTCGCGTAAGTCGAGGTATAATTTCGCATATAAATAAATACAAATAATTTTTAATTGGGGCCGGAGACTATAAAAAACAATAATTTAGAAAAAAATGTTCAATAAAATCTTAGATAATACATATGTATAACAAATTAGGCCTATATTATTTTACAATTTTTCACATTTACTTGATTATTACGTCATAGTTTTAACATCTCAGCGATAATACTGTGACGTTTACGAATGATGCTTGAATTTAAAGATTGAGCATTTTTCACAGCTTCGAGAATTTTTTCTTTGTTTTTTATAATTGTTCTGACCGACAATTCCGGTAGATCAAACTTCTTTGCCAATTCACAAATTTTCATTTTTGTATCGAAGTCTTTAATAATGGGTACGTTCGTAAAGTCAAACGAGTTAAACGCGTTAGTAACGAATCGTTCGAAAAGTCTAACGAAATAGGAATAACGATGACGTCATTCTCGTTTAACTCGTTCGACTTTACGAACATACCCAATGTTAACTTTACATTCCAAAGATAAAGTTTTTCTTTTCTTGTTTGATGCAGAAGAATTAGTTCTACTTCGTTTGGATGACATAGTAGAGTCTCTCGAGTCTCCGTAGATATAACAAACACAGAAATAAATAACACAAAATAAACTGTAGCTATGTGTGGATTCCGCGCGACACATCCGAACATGTAAGCTGAACAATAGTGTGGGGGGAGTGAGTAATCAAGGGTTGCGTGGCGCTCAAACAAAAGACGAATCGACGAGATTTGAAAATCGCGTACTCCGGGTTCGCGTAAGTCGGGGTATTACTGTACTTGTTTATTCTCATTGTTTATTATTATAGTTTTCGACTCTCTTCCTTTTATTTATTTATTTAAATTTTTGCGCTAGTTCTTAGCAACGACATGCACTCACTCTTAAATTTAAAACATTCGTTTACAAATTTTAAAGTATTCAGGCAGTCCATTTCTTAAACAGTATGAATTTAATATTCTAAAACGTAATTTAAAACTTCTCTTTGTAAGAAGATGATAAAGAAAAAAAACGTAAATATATTTACAATGTAGTCGATTCTGTTTAATTACGACATATCGCGGCCTAAGTAATTTGTCCCGATTAATCGGTTGTCCCAATAAAGCGAATTTTAAGGGAACAGATAAAATCTAAACTGAAAAATAAACTATGAAGATAAAACTCATTTATTAAGAAAATAATTAATATTCAGTATTTTGTACCGTACTTACATGTACAGACGTATGTGTGTAAATAAATTCAAGTTCAAAAATAAAGTATTAAAATATAATTATGAAACGAAAACAAAAACAATTATTTTTACAAAAATTTATCAAGCGTATCTACAATGCTATTTTTTTTAAATTTGAAAATGAACAAAATCGGCGCTCACTTCCATCGAAAAACTAAGATCTTCATTTGAATCTTTCATAAAATACCATCTTAGTTCAATAATAAATAATTGATCTTTAATAGTTTTAATTAATAAGATATTCCTAATCTATAAGTCTTAATCAGGAGTATCATCTCCATCACTGCACTTTATGTTTTAAGTGTTATTACGAAAGAACTTGTTCAATTATTGCATCTATACAATGCTTATTTTCACTGCAACATAGGAAGTTTTTATCACCGTATAAATATTCTTTGTGAAACGCCTAGAAACATCTTAAACCTACTTTCCTCGTTTATATACGAGCGTAAGCTGTCCCAATAAAGCAGCGGGATGTCCTAAATAAACGAAGTAAATTTGCCTTATATTATATTTTTTGCTTCCGTCTTTTAATGTATGTCCCTAATAAGCGGCGGGCCTAATTACCCGGAATGTATCCTTTAAACTTTATCCTTTAAATTAGTACTTACTTTGAAAATGTAATAAGACACCAATCATGACAAGAAAGGCAATAAAAATGACAAGACACACCAAAATAAGGTAACGCTCTAACAATGTTCTATTGTTCCAAATGGTACATTTTCTGTAAAACAAAATTGATTTAATTATATTAAAAAGTATCACTAAAAATATAAAAATACATTTCAAGAAAAAAATTACAACGACTTTATATTATTAAAAATGAACTAATAGTTTTTAGCACTTTTTTAGCAGTTATTACATTTTTAGCAAAGATTACTAAAAAAATTTTATACTAGGTTCAAGAAATACGTCAGCAAAAATAACGTAATCTAATAATATAAGACATTAATCGCTTGTCAGTATATCTGTATCGGTATGCCTAAAACGCCCACTAGGGGCGCCCTAAATTAACAATAAATTACTACAGTGGTGCCTCGTATAACGTACTTAATCCGTTCCAGGTGCACATCCGTTAAATGAAAAGTCCGTTATACGAAACGCATTTTCCCATAGAAATACAGTACATGTTAAAACATAATTCGTTCCGCAGCATAAAATAACCGTACTGTACCATTAAAAAATGAAAATGGAGCAGTCACCAATTATGCCGGGTAGTCAGATGCTGTGAGGAGGTGGAGTAACACTTTCTTTACACATTTATTTTGAGTTAATTTCTCATGATAGAATATCAGTATTCACAATTAATCCAATCCTTTGACAACAAAACAGCTTTATTTCTAACTAAAGGGTTTAATTAACAAGCTCTACATTAAATGTAAGCACACCTCGTGCTTCAATGAACGCCACCTAATAGAGATGATTTTTTAATTAAGATGTATCCGCATCCTTCCCATAGCCAAATTATAGCCACGACAATTTATACAGATGCAGACTTTTTACACATTGCAGCAGGTCTCTTTTTATTGTTTTTTAATCGGAGTCAGATTTAGGTGAGACTACCGGAGCTTGCAGGGTCATCTCCTCTTGTTCCATCCTTTATTTTTTGGCAGCTGGCTTCTTGAAAAACATTCTCGTCAATTCTCGAAAATAAATTTAAAAATAAAGGACTGAGAGGAACACAATTGTCCTGGCTATTATCCTATTTATCAAATCGTAAATATTATGTAAAGGTACAGTACATGAATACTGTAATTGTATTTCAAATTCTTTTATATCTAACAAATGCGTCGCTCGGAAGTTCTTAAGTCCCTTATGGAATATGGAATATGGTTCCTTATATTTATGTGAACGACCTTGTTGAATTTTTACTAGAAACCAACGTTATAATGTATGGGGGTGATATTGCGATATCATATCGCAATATCTTACTCGAACCGGAATACAAGAGTTATTCAAAACAACGTAAATAATATATTATAGAAATTAACTGAGTATTCGAAGATTAATAAATAACCTGTGTATTAACACAGATAAGACTAAATTTCCGTATTTTGCCAACAAGAATAAGGATATAAACGATGATCTATTGCAAATTATGACAAATAGAAAGAAAATCCGTTCAGTTAATAATATACAGTACCTAGGTATTAAGATAGACGACAAATTTCGATGAAATCTGCATATATTTGCATAAACTGCATAATCTTACTTCGGCGTAGGTTAAATTCTCAGGAGTAATAAAATTTAAGTTTTAATTTGATTAAACGTCAATATCACATTTGAAACAAAACTTTGATATAAGTTTTCTAATTGGGTTTCGATTCATATTACAATTTAAATCAGTGTTTCTCAATGGGGGCGATATCGCCTCCATGTGGGCATTTTTTCCATGTTGAGAGGGCGATTAGTAACAATTTATATTTTGGGGGCGAAAAACAATTTTCTGGGCGATATAGTAAAATATTATATTAAGAATAATTAGATATTTTATTCGTTATATCGTACAATAATTAAACAAATAACATTATACTAGTCAATAGTCTATTCAATGCAGTACGAATTTGGCGTTAGTCTTTGTCCTCGGCATCGGAATTTTGAAATGAAGGGGGCGATACTACGTTGAAGGGGGCGACGATTCGTTAGAGGTTAAGAAACACTGATTTAAATAAACTGCAAATACAGCAAAACCGTTTTATTAGATCAATTCATAAGTTGAACTATAACGATTGTTTCTATCTATTAACTTCAAAATAAAATAGATAAAATATCAACTATATGTAAGAAATAAATACTGTTGGATGCCGTCTTAAGCGACAAAAAACAAACTATTTTCTCTCCGATTCAATCAGAAAATATCGTAGACCAACAAAATACACTTCCTGAATGAAAAATAAATATTTGTTACCAGAAATCAAACTAGCAATGGGAAAACAGCAACTTTATTCCAATTGGTAAATTTTTCGAATGGTCTGGATAATGATAAATCTTTTGTTTTTGTATTAAACACTTTGAAAGAAGCCGACTGGCCAAGAAGTATTTTAAATGAATAAATGAATAATTTAAAGGATATCACAATAATATGAAGTGTTTTCACAAAACAAGAAACACTATGCCGAGTAGAGACAACGGATTTCAAAAATTAAACGAAGCATTTGAATTTAAAACACAATATTGACGTTTTTCATTTGACATCACTGAAAATTTCATTTTGTTTTTTCAACTTTTGTTTTGTTTTGACTTGCGTAATGTGTTTTAAGAAGCATTACCCCATCGAATTACAAGTAAAAGAGAAAGACAGAATGGGAAGAGCAAGAATGGGATTCAAAGTATTGATATGTTATGTAGAATAATGAATTAATCACCTCAAGATTTTGAAGAAACTGTTATATATACGCGAACTGCAATAATTTGTAACGAAATTAAACTTCTCTTAATAACGTGCAGTACTGGAATAAAGATTCTTCTGATGGTTTGACCCGAGTTGGAGTAAGAATACTATTTATCTATACATTCAAAAATTGGAAGGATGGGAAACAAATTGTAAAACATCACAGATTTTTACTTTTCCGGCTTTTATATATAAATAGCCTAAAATGTAGAAAATTACGACGATTATTCGGAAAATGATCCCCAAGATTTTTACATTTTCGAACTCAGAGGACCTTCAAACGTCGAAAAATGCAAAATAATTCGGGTTTTTCCCCTGTGTTTATGGATGTTAGAGTGTGTAACACAATTTTGTTCACTCAGTTTAAAGTTTAATAACTCCTGTGTTTTCTGTCGAAAAATTTCTGAAATTTTTCAGTGAGAAATGTGTATTGGGGAAACTGATGCTATTAAATTTTGTTAGTTACAGACCGACGGGGTGGACAGATAAAAGAAGGTCGTTTGTTATATCTCGAGTAGGGTCGCATTGAATGACAATTTTACTCGTTATTACCATTTTCAATTTTTTTATAAAACCCATTTCTACTTTCAAAAGTTAAGCTTTTTGCCACTTTATAATAATTAATTGAATAAAATTTTTAAAATAAATTATCATAAAAGATGGCGCCACCAAACGTCGCCGGGAAAGTAAACTCGTAGCTGGATTTTTTAAAACGGTATGGTGAGAAGATGAATAGAGATGAAATATCGACATTTCAAATCAAATTATACAGGCAGATGTTGATTTTCAACGGTTTTAATTGCACAAGGAAGACACTGCTAAAAGCATATGGAGAGCATCTTCATGTGTAATATAATTTACCAATTCTCACTTTAACTCTGAAATAAATCATCTACAGTATGTAATAATTTTAAGCGTATAATATTTCTTCTACATAATTTCTATTAACATAATTACAAACAAACGAACTTATACGAAACTCGATAATATTTTGTATTAAATCTATTGAAATACTTTAATTAATTTGTAAAATCCATTGTCTCTATTCTGCATAATGTTGCTTTTTTCGCGAAAGTATCTCATTAACCGCGAAATACTTTCTACTACTATAGAAATGTTTCCCGTTATTTTATTCAATTTATATCTTTATGAAATTTATAGATCAATTCGTGCAATCTTATGAGAATAAATGAAAAGTATTTTTCGATATGTTTTAATGCGTAAGCCTATACAGTACTTATTTTCAAAATCTCCTTGCTGAATGCTGCTGCGGAGTGGAATAAGCATGTGTGAAAGAGTACAAACAAATATTCGGCATCAAGAAAATTATTCCAGGTTTGCAAATTTTCAGCGTATTTACCAGTAAAAAATATTTAATTACGGGTATATTTGCTGATACATTTTTAAATCTTTACCAATAAACCGATAAACCCTATTTATCGGTAGTGCAATCCTAAGATAATGTTATGTTATGTCTGGCGTCTGGCTGTTACTGCTCTTCTATCGACGTTATCTGTAAACACAACTCTATTTTGTCCTTGACTGTCATCGTTCTTAAGGTCTAGGTATACCCCTTTCAGTTTTTTTTTTTTTTTATCAGAATTGACTTCTATAAATATTATTTCATAATAATTGTCTTAACTACAAAATTTATATTTTATTTCATAGATTTATAATTGAAAGTTTTATCGTATTAATTATACACAACAACTTCGAATCAAAGATATATCGAATTTATCATAAACTTAAATTACATTATTTTATTAATTGAAAAAGTTTATAATTATCTTATTAAACAATTTTCATTCAAAAACTGAAATAATTAATTATAAAAACTTGGTACTAATAAAACTAAAGCTAAGGTACGGGACCGTAACCTTGAACAGAATTGTTAGTAATTATTTAATTAAGAATTTATTGAATCTAGAATCTCATATTTTATTCGTCTTCCTGCTTGAGAATATTTTTTAACGTCTTATTATAATATTTTAATAATTATTTTAAAAAACTCTTTATTATATATAATATACATTATTTAATTCAATGAATGTAGTAAATGAAGATAGATAATCTGTATTTGTTATTATAAGAAATCCTAATAAGTATAAAAATTTTATATGTTTGATTATTACATTCATATTTTTTTTATATTTTAAAACATTTGTATATAAATAATTTCAATTCCTAAAACAACACATTAATTATTTTATCTAATTTAATATAATGTTATAATAATCATAAATTAAAAAATACACAATTTTTAAATGAAATCTGTATTGTTTATAAAATTCAAAACTAGACTGATTATTATTATTCAAATTTCTCAAGTTCTTCGATGTCGCGACCTTTTAAAATGATTGATGAGATTGTGTAATCTCTCATAAAATAAATTAATGATTGTTAAGATGTCAGTTATTAATTACATTTAATTTATACGGGTTTTACTACTTTTAAAACACTTTTAAATTAAAAATATTCTGGATGAATGATAATGTCATAAATGCTTTAAATGACAAACAATTCAGAAACATAACGAGATGATAGTTTGTAAAATTAATTCCGTCTTTTATAACAAGTTTTNCGGGTTTTACTACTTTTAAAACACTTTTAAATTAAAAATATTCTGGATGAATGATAATGTCATAAATGCTTTAAATGACAAACAATTCAGAAACATAACGAGATGATAGTTTGTAAAATTAATTCCGTCTTTTATAACAAGTTTTTATAACTTGTCTACGAAATTAAATAATGAACTTTTATGTATTTCAAATTATACTTTTCACGATAGTTATAGGTTTCTAAAATTGTGAATTGTTATCCACACTTACAGTAGTACCGAATATCATTACAATGCCATTTAATCTAAACACGTTTTAAGCTTATATTTACAATTAATTATTTAATAATATAACAAATAATAAGTTTTTTATTTAAACAACATAAATTTATCCAGAATGTATTTCAGCCTGTTGAAAAGTATTTCAGTCAGGTAACTTACATATACATTTGACATTATGGTGTTATAAATAAACATCTATAAATTAATTCGATGAAGTAAAAAATGCAACATTTATAAAAATCGACAATTACCATACATTTTTACCGCATTCAACAGTGACAGTGCAAAACATCCATAAAAATTGATTTCAAATGTATAAAACACCATAACCATACTCAGAGTTAATTTTATACTTCATATATGTTTAGTTTTTGATTACATTTTTGTGTAGTGTATTCTTATCTTCTAAATGTAATATACCATTTAACTGATATTAATCCAAATTGAAATAAATTTTTATGGATGTTTTGTGTTGTCGTTGTTATTGAACATGGTGAAAATGTATGGTAATTGTTGGTTTTTATGAATACTTTTTTTACTTTGTCTGATTCTTTTATAGATGTTTATTTATAACACCATATTAGTAAAGTTTGATAATTTAAGGACATACTATACAGGACAAATCAGATTCTTTAGATAGTCTTTTGACAGTATGCATTTTAGGTCCAGACCCCTATTCAGTTGTAACCGTACTAATAGATGACATTGGTTCTGAGTAAAGCAAAAAGGAAAATTTTAACACTAAAAACTTAGTTTGTCTTTGCTTTAAGTTAAAAAAAAAATAGTTATTTGATTAATTTATAAATGGATAACAATAATACAGTTTCATGCCATTGTAAAGAATTACAATTTAATAATATATTTCATTTATCAGAAATTCAATTTCCAAGATTATGAATTAGAGTAATAAAAGTTAAAGGCAAGCATACCATGCTAGGCTTGTGTCATTTCATTAATACAGTATAAAATTTTTTGTTAATTTTATTTCATCTAATTTTAATCTTAAAGGCAATTTGCAAATATTGTTTTCAAATTCTTATAATAGTTTTGTGAAATTCTTGGCTGTCATTTCAGTTTTATTACACTTAATTTAAAACATGCTTTTGCACTGGAATAAATTAAATTTGTTTTATTAGTTATATCTTTATATAAAAAAAATTGTTATGAAATATGCTCTAGCCCAGGATTTTCCAACCTTTTTTCTTTATGGGCTTTTTAGAAATTTTCTTATATTCAGTGGGCCACAAAGGTACCTTATATAAATATATGCTTTTAAAAAGTTCAAAATATGAATATCAAATTTTAAGAACAAATATATATACCAGTAATTACAAAAAATACTGTATTGTTGTACAGTAAAACTATCACGAAATAAAAATAAATTCAATGCAATTTTTGGCATTGCTTTTCTATTACAATATTGTCAATATCTGCATTTATGGTACTACAACTGCTAGACGAAAAATTAGAATATTCACCTAACTGAAAGTTTAGTGTATATTTTTTCATGAACAACACAGTATGAAAATTATTTTTGACACCACATAAACAACGTATATGTATATTTATTATATCCATTAATCAGACAAATTAACTCAAATGTTTTTTTGTTATAATTGAAAATGAAATGACAAAAAAATAGAATAACAGTTTGACTGACAAAAAATTAGAATATTAGCTAAATGTGGGTTAAATGTAGGAAATACAACAAAATAATCTTAATATTTTGTAGCATTGCCGTTTTCCATAAACACTGCTTACAATCTGTCGGGTATGGTCATATTAATGCTTTACATTCATTTTTAGTGAATCAGTTCCAAATGTGTCAAATGCATGTCACTATTTCCTGTTTAGAAGTTGGGCACTGTTCATTAAGTTGTCGTTTCATGACCCCACAAATTTTCAATGGGGTTTAAGTCTGGGAATTGCTTGGCCAATGCAGGATTGCAATCTATTGTTCTTGTAACCAACATATCGTTGACTTTGCAGTATGAGAGGATGCCTCATCTTGTTGATATAGAAGTGTTTCCTCAAATAAATCCTCTGTTGATGGTATAATAAATGTCTTGATATGTCTGTGCATTGACATGTTCCCAAAGAATGCACAGTTGTCCTACACCGTTAGTATTCATGCCTCTCCAGATCATGGCAGACAATGCAAACTTTAAGGATCTCTTCGCATAGTCTTTTTCAAAGGCCTCTTTGGTTGTTCTTCATATACATGAGCTTTGGTCATCACAGGAGAGACAAAACAGGGATTCGTCATCAAAGAGAACGTTGTTCCAGTTGTTTTCTCCTCACATGAGCCTCTCTGCACCATCTGATAAACGCTTGTCGTTGCTTTTTCATTAGAGATGGCTTCATCTTGGGGACACGGCAGTTGAAGTGCAAATCATACATTTTTCAGCATGTGCTTCAGCTACAAACATTCACTCCAGTTGTTCTGCATTGTGCATGCAAGTGTTTAAAGATTTTAAAGCAGTTTTACACGTCAATCCTTCTCAAGTTTCTCTCATCCCTTGCAGTTGTTGCTCATTTNCCGGGACTATGCCAATCATGTTCGAAAGTTTTTTTCATAGATTCGATTGATTCACACCACATCTATACATAAAATAAAATATTTATAAAAAGTTTCTTATTGGAATTAATATCTTTTGAATTGTTTATGACAAATCAAAATTCTATAGTGTTTTTATTGTTGTTTATTTATATTCCAGATATATAACAGAATAGCAATGAGATTTTATAAAACAAGGCACATTAAACAATATATAAACATCCAACTATCGCCTGAATGTTCGATCTACAATTCAGCTATTTGAAATAATTAATACGAATTAATTTGCTACTAGAAGTAGGGCGTTAAGCACTATCTCTTAACTAAATTTATAATTATAATTTAAATAATTTAGCCGAACTATAGCCCTATCATTTAGGCGATCGTTGGATGTTTATAAATACTCAGACTTTACGATATTTGTTACAGTAACTTAACTTTAATATTAACTTATGGCTGCGTACACACTAGGCGTTTTTAAACGCGCGTTTGACGCACCAAGAGTTCTGCATAGGCGTACACACTCAAACGCGCGTTTATAGATTTTTTTTAAAACGCGCGTTTTGCGGGCGCTTTGAGATATATGTGCTGCCATGTTACTGTACATTCGATCGCGCATTTTGCGGGCGTCAGCCGAGCGCTTTGAGATATATGTGCTGCCATGTTACTGTACATTCGATCGCGCGTTTTCGGGTAGAGTGGACGTACGTTGGCCGAAATGGAAAACGATCTTTTCGATACTGATCTACTTATTGATGAAATCTAAAAGAGACCAACCATTGTCAAATGATTTTATAGATATTTTAAAACAATTAAAAAACTTGGGTTTATTTTGTCTTAGTTTTGGATACAACGCCGCAAACATTCCATGTGTCAGTCTATCTCGTAATATTGGGTGCACCCAAAATTCTCTTTGCCTCTGTCATCGTCTTTTATAGCGACGATGGAGGAGGGGCACACAAGCAATTACTTTCACGTCCATTTCCAAACTGAGCCAGTGCGTATGCTCCACTAAACGGTTGTCTAACGCCGAGCTAACGCGCGGTGTGTACGCTGATAACGCGCGTTTAACGCAACGCAAAACGCCTAGTGTGTACACAGCCTATTTGTAATCACATGTCAAATGTATCGATTGACCTGAGCATATCCGATGAAAAACATTTGTTTGTTTGTAAAGTCGAGACCAGGAAGATAAGGTTCTTCTCCGTGGCGTTTAAGATATTTTTCGTAAGCCTGCCGTAATTGAATTATAACAAAAATATTACAAAAAAAAATCTAGAAATCAAAAAGCATAAACTGTAAATGATGATTATTACCCGAAAAGCAACAGTAATCCCACTGTTATCTGCGATGTTATCCCCAATTGTTCGATTTCCATCAATCTGAAAACCATTATATTTATTTATTTATTATTTTTTTAACGAAAAATTGTTCAAAGTATATAATCGTTTTTGAAAACATAGACATACCGTAAGATTTCCTTCTAATGGAAATTCCGAGTATTGAAATTGTAGACAATTTTTCTTTTTCTTGTATTGTTCCAAAAATTCTTCAGAAAAATTAATTTTATCTCCTTCTTTATCGTTTACCTCTGTCGAATTTTTCATTTCCTCTTCTGATTCGTCTCCTGTCAGAAATAGAGTTTTATATAGCAGATTTTATATTATACTTTTCTAGNTGATATTAATTTCATTGCTAAGTTTCAAACATTTTATTATTTTAACAAAATATGACAACAATTGTTTAAATTTTTGACATGAAAAGTTTTATCAAGTAATATTATCTCTAATTTTCACCTATTTTAATTATATTTGTGCTGATGAGAAAACAATTGTTATATAATTTATATCAATAAATTCAAGGCACTACATGGAAGTGCTATAAATAAATTATAGATTTTCCAGTTTCAAACATTCACTGTTTGACTCTACTAACAAATGATATGAAAATTTCTTTCATCTATTGCTCAATTAGACTACAATTTACATAATTTAATTATATCAAAATCACAATAATCATGAGGATCAATCAGAAAAATAGTATAGTATGAAAGTACTCCATTCTCCTGAAAGCTGCTTTCTAATCAAAAACCTAGCAATATTTACCTTTAACATTGTCTTGGGTTAAAATTTCATAATTGACAAATATAGATTGACCCAAAGTCAACCATTGTAAAGACTAAATTGCTATCTTATTCAAATATTTTATTATCTACAAAAATTGTTCAATACACAAATTATAATGTTTTAGGTTCACAAGTATACCTGCAACATAGAAAACAAAAATATAATTGACTGACTTTTGGGCCATTCTATAAACTAAGAAATTTTTAAACAAAATTTGAATCTCTAAGCCATGAAAGAGAGAAATAAAATCAAACAGTTTATTCCTCTATTCGATGAATATTTTTCCAATTTCTTATAATTTTCATTCAATCATAGTTTGGGCAAAAATATTTTAATAACTCTAAAATTAACAGATCACTTATTTTTGATAGTTTAAAATTACATTCATTAAAATAATTTCTAAGTAGAAGCATTTATCTATGTATCTGCAGTATTTCAGGAATAAAGATATAAGTAATATTTTTTATTTGTAACTGTAGAAATTAAATTATCTCTTTGCTTATACATTGTTAAATTTACAATCATTTAAAAGAATGAAATGATTGAAAATAATTAACATTCTGGATAATTCTGAAAATTAATGTAATTGTATACAGTAGATCTTCAGCAAATACTTTAATTTTTGGTAGAATCATTAAAATATATTATTTAAACAGTAGTTTTTCACTTACATTTTCAAACATCTTATTTAAGAATTCCACATTTTGAAAACCATTTTTATATCCGATATTCTGCTGAATTTTTCCCAACTATATTAAAATGAAGAATGAAAAATTAAAGGCAAAATTCTCGATTTAATGCTACTATATTAAAATTCAGTTATCATATTTTTAACTGATAAATGCATAAAGGAAATTCATGCCTATTACTATTCCCATTTCACCAAATCCTAAACTTGCACCAACCTCCATTGGATTAAATCTTATTCTATTAGGAAAATAACCAATCAGTTTACATAAAAAGATAAAATTATATTAAGCAAAATTTTCTTACTCTTTCTGAAGATATAAATAAATACTTGGATTAAACATTTCATCGGAAATCATTTGATTATTCACAACTAAGAAATTTTGTATATAATTATCTGTAATATTGATCTGAAAAAAATTATAATTTCTCTTTATATCAAATAATTACTGTAATTACTTTTTCGTTATTACAACATCTGTTAAGTGTTAAGTATCACACTAATTTAAAATTCATTTTTACGTTATCAAAAATTAAATGATACATTTGCTTTATACCTCAATAACATATTAAAAATTCGATTTTAACATCCTGGATACTAAAAAAACAATAAAAAATGTAAAAAATCGTTTTTAACAATATTAATAAATACATGCAAGGTGATGCACGAGGGTGGAGTTTTGAATGTTAATCTTAAAGCAGATGTCTCGTTATTGTTTCATTCGAATCTAAAAAAATACCAAACTTGATTGATAAGGACAAAATTCTTTCTCGAGTACGGAATTTAGACTGAGCTATTATTGACTTACAAGATACGCTCGAACGTTTTAGAAAAGGTTTAACTTCTGTGTTTCTCTGTCAGAATATTAAACATCGTATTACAGAACTCAATTTAAATGAAAGGTTTCAATGTTTTATGAGATGTAACAATTTAATCCTTTGGAATTTTTCTGAATTAGATAATGAAGATATGTTCTTCTTTGTCTAGAGAAATTTAAAATGTTAGAATTTTTTGAATTGAATCTATATATATAAAACTCAAATGTGACTGACATAGTGATCTATCAACGCACAGCCCAAACCACTGGACGGATCGGGCTGAAATTTGGCATGCAGGTAGATGTTATGACGTAGGCATCCGCTAAGAAAGGATTTTGATCAATTCTACCCCCAAGGGGATAAAATAGGGGATGAAAGTTTGTATGAAACTTTGTCAATTTTAAACCGATCGGGCTGAGACTTTGCATGCATAAAGCTACTATGACGTAGGCATCCCCTAAGAAAGGATTTTAATAAATTCCACCCCTAAGGGGATAAAATAGGGGATGAAAGTTTGTATAAATCTTCTTAGATTTTCGACTGATTGAACTGAAATTAAAGATTGGAGCTACTATGATGAAGACGTCCGCTTAAATAGGATTTTGATAAATTCAACCCCCATGGGTGATGTAAATGTATTAGTTTGAACCTATCAGTACCTAATGGAACGAATAAATTAAGACGAACAAAATAATTTTCAGTTCTAAATGTTGACAATAGATGGCGTTAGTAGTATTTTAAAACGCGCTATCGTTGTGTTTTCACTGAGTTACATATACCCGATGATGAGTGGCCGCCGTATCTAATAGTACATACTATACCTAAATATTTCTAGCGGATTATATTTGACGGGGGTTAATTAGGTATAGTTTTTGCGGGGATTATATTGTACCCTTTGTACATAGTTGTACAAAGAAGTTTTGTAGGCCCTAATTTTTTACACACGCTAAACAAAAGTAAAGCCGCAAAAACTATACCTAATTAATAATAATACTTCTTAACGCGAGCGAAGCCGCAGGCAAAAGCTAGTTTAATATAAAAAGAATGGTGTTAAAATAGTTCTTTACATATTGGAAATTGGTGAAGGTCGAGAAAAAAAATATTTAAGAGACTTCTACTAAATCGATGATTGAACGGAAACTTGCTTGATACAAATTGGGCTTTGGAAATTGTCAAGAGTGTTAAATTAAACATATTTTTGCACTTTCGGTTTTCATTTTATATTGTACTTTTACTTGAAACGGGGTGGAATGGTGTAAGTGACTTAAAGCAATTTACATTTGAATGAATTGTGTTGTGCAAGAAGCAGGTTTCTGCGCCGAAAAAAATATTGTTTCATTAGCGGCTGAATAAAATTAATTTGTAAATCGTTCACATTTAAAATAAGAATAAAGAATACTGTCCATTTTGTATGGATAAGGAACAACTTGTTTGTAAAATAGAGGTTGGTCCGTTGAAAAGGAAACACTATATTAAAATTGATGTAAATTCTTCGAACTTTAGTTGCAAAAAGCACTATTGTTTGTGTATTTTTAGTTATTTCAGATAATTTTCAGGTAATATGTTTATTCCGTTTCTATTTATATTTATTATCAATATTTTTGCTCAAGATTTCAATTTTGGTAATGATATTTGTTATATTTGCTTTATAGTATGTTTTACAACATTATTACTGGTAGATAGAATTTACTTATTTATATTGTAATCATTTGCCCGTCCAATCGTGTATGTATTACCTTGAACTATTGATAATAAATCAATTAGTTAAGTAAGTAAATAAATATAATATTTTCGAATAACAAAACAGAATCATTAAAATATATTATTTAAACAGTAGTTTTTCACTTACATTTTCAAACATCTTATTTAAGAATTCCACATTTAGAGACCCGTTTCCATATCCGATGTTCTGCTGAATTTTTCCCAACTATATTAAAATGAAGAATGAAAAATTAAAGGCAAAATTCTCGATTTAATAAAATTTAAAAATTGACTAAATAAAAATAATTATACTTATATCGTTTTAAATTTAAAATCTAATTTAGTTTTTGTCATGCATATTTGAGACGAACTAGTAATTTCATTCAATACTAGCAGATATGCCGAGGTAAACATAAGCTGAGCAAACACTAAAAATTTGGCTATTTACCTAATATTATTGTATAAAACAAAGGTAAGAGTGAGATGTAAAGGTTTTAAGAAAGCCTTAAAACCTGTAGTGTCTTAGACAGGGGCGGATCAACAAAGAAACTAATAAGGCTTAAGCCCCGGATCCCCAAATGTCAAGGGCCCACAAAAATTTAATTAATATCATAAATTTTTAATACTTTCTCATTAACAATGTGCACTTATCGTGTAGTATAAAATAGTTAATATTAATAGTATAATAATGATAACAATTTGTAGTATTGCTTGTTTTATTGTAATAATTCTTAATCGAACAAAAATTGGGGAAAATTGGACTTTAATAACCCCTAGGTCACGAAAAACCTAATTCTGCCCCTGATTTTAGAGAATAAACTTGAAAATTTTGGTGAATTCAAAAATGTTCGAAATGCAGAGAACAAAAATATTAATAAAACAAAAGTTATTTTAAATTAGTCCTACTGATCGGTTATTCGCGGGAGGGATATTAGGAAACAAATTATATAATGTAAATAAAAAGTTACTATAAAAATTTAACGTAAGTTAAAAAAGGTACAATACTATAGAACCTCAGTAAAATCGGATGTGAGGCCATTATTATCATCCGGAATGCGAATCATTTTCATCCCAAGCAATTATAAACACGAAATTATTCAGGAATATTTAATAAATATATAACTACTGTATTATCACAACATATTCAGATTGTGACAAACTTTAAATCAAAATGTATTGTAAGTATATCGAATCGTCGATTAAATCTTCGAAGTGACAGACAACTGACAGCTCTTCATGGGGTGATTCTGAGTAGTGTTATTAAGCAAAATGAGTATATTGTGACGTCATTTAATGAACCATTTGCAAGAAATACGATACTAAACGTCGTAACGTTCTCGTTACCAACGGCACTTTCATTAACAACTCTCGTTTACTGAAAGTTTGGTCGGAACTATCTTTGAGTCTAGACGACTATCGAATGTATACATAAATTCCTATTTTATTGAAATATAGGCAAGATTATTTTCGTTTTAAAACTGTATTGTTTAATATCGTTTACAGCAAATATAATGTCTGTATAATTTAGATCAGGGAAGTCCAACCTTATTTGTCTCTCTGGGCCGCATTGGAAGAAGTCAAGGAGTTTTGGGCCACAAGTATATATAAGGTAAGGATGCCGAATATGAGATACCATTTTTATTTTTGACTATAAAAAAATAACTATTACACTTGGAGCTTTACAAATTACAATTTTGAATGGGGAATTTAATATATTTAACAATATAATTGCTATTTAGTCCTAAGCATAATACATTTTTAGTTATATTAGATAAAATGAAAAAAGTCCGAAATCACGTCTTAGGTAAATGGTCTCCTATTATGAGATACTAGGGGTACCCCAGATTCTGGACAGTCTTGACCCGTCCAGATTCGATCCCGGGTCCCCCAGAGCGGTAGGCTGTCACCGTGACCTCTTGGCCATCCGGCCTTTTCTGGGGTATCCTTAGGAACACCGAATTGTTTTGATGCCTTTAAGTAACCTATTTGATTGCTCCGTACTGCATCCACGGCTCGTATCATGGCACTGTGGTGCCAGGTTTTCCTTTTAATTGGGGCCATCTAAAATATATAAAAAAAGAACTTAAACTAATACGTATACTTTCACCTCATATATGAAATGAGATATCTCATATTAGGAACCCTCATGTGTCTCATATTGGGAACACATTCAAATTTTACAAAACGGCTGCCTACTTTTTTTGCTGACAAAGAAAACAATAGTACTGCACTAATATCGTGAAATTGACCGTATAATTGATACAATGAATGTAAATTAAAAGAATTTAGCGTAATAATAACGTTGTTACATACCTCGTAAACATTTAATGTCAAAAAATTTGTTTTGTGCTTTTGTGAAAATCTGCACACCCACGATCTAACAGCACCTCTGGCCAGCGTGCACTGACACACGTTTGGAGCTATTGCCAGGACGCTTCGGAAAACACTAGAGCCAAATAGTTTACGTTAATAGTTTGGCCAAAACCTTGGTATCTCATATTTGGCGCCTATCTCATAATAGGCATCTTTACCTTAATATATACTTGTGGCGAATATACAAGTATATTTAAGGACTAACACGTGTAGATTATAATAATAAGTATTAAAATTTTATCACGAAAAAGGATATTTTAAAAAATTACTTCTACAGACACTTTCAATTTTTATTTTGAAATAGATAAATTCATTTATTATAAAGGAGACAAACAAAAATTTATTTGAAAAACACAACTATTTGTTTTATTTCGGTCTGTAATTAATGAAAAACGACGAAGTACCATTTTAAAGTGCATTTTTATTCAACTAATATATTTATAAATAATATGTAGCCGAAAAAGTAGCCTAAGCGCCAAATGATAGTTTTTACGTCAAAAAAAACGTAGCCATATTTGGCGCAATGTAGCCAAATCTTGCAACGGTGGAAGAAATATTAAATAAAGCTGGAGTTGTGACTCAGTAAATTATAGACCCAAATGCGGGGAAAGGTGAAATAGGACAAAAGATAAAGAAGTGAAAAAGGTTGGAAAATTAAGGGTCAATATTTTCATAACAGAAGATCTGTTTAACCTTTCTCACTACTTTCTATCTTTTGTCTTTTCTCTTCTTTCCCTCCATTCCCCAAATTTGGGTCTATAATCCTTTGAGTCACAACTTCAGTTTTATTTAGTAATCCTTCCTCATTCACACATCTCCAAGTATTTGAAAATATTTCCTTCCCCACTCAAAAGAAAATATGAATGAATATTTACAGTTTTGTGAAACTTATTTTTAGTTTATGCCGTTGAAATAATTAAATAATAAAAATTAAAACATTTGTCGGTTTTGTTTACATGTTTATTGGGCCGCATTGGAACTTGCCTTGGGCCGCGGGTTGGACACCTCGGATTTAGATATTGTCATGTGTGTGGCCAGGCAGCACTGAGTTTAGACGCACTTGAAAATAAAGATATCCTTCCTTAGTACCTTTGGTAGTGTCCTTAATTCTCTACATGTTAATTACCTGTCACCACCTGCGATATAACCGTACAACAGACGTCACATGGTAACGAAACCTGGAGAAAGGATCTGAAATAATCAAGAATTAGGAAGCTGTCGTAGTCGAGGAAACATTAGTCCAAGACCGCCGGTTCCGTTAATTTACACCCAAAGGTAAACATTACGTATGAAAAAATTGTGTTTGACAAATTCGTTGAATGGAAAAACGAAAACTTTGATGATTTTCTGACAGCATTGTTGAATAAGAGTAAAACTTATCACAGACAAAATAGTAGTCAGTGTCTTTAGTGATATTTATAGAGAAAAGCTATCCGCTAAGGAAAATTTAACGCTGGAGAAAGCTGTTAAAATATGCGGAGCAAGGGAACAAGCTTGTCGTCAGTTGACCACTATGAAGAGCGAATCACTAAAAGTCAAAGCTGTAAAACGTAATGGCTGGCATGCATATTAAACATAAAAACTTAGTGAATAAATTCATTGTAGTCGAAGAAGTTTGGTTAAACTTCTTCGACTACAATAAAACCAATCTTAGGAAAGGAAACCTGTGTTTAAATGGGACTGATTAATTAAAAGAATTCAGAGTACCACTGTTTCAGAACAGTTGTTAGACAATTGTGAGCCCAAAGATAAAGAATTTCAAATCGACTTAATTGATAATACGAAGCTCGAAATCTTTTCTGCTAGAAGAGTACCTCATCTGATTATGGATCAGATAAAGCAAGAATTAGACTGCATGGTACGTATGGGTATCATTGAGCCTGTGTATGGGCCTACACCTGCTGTTTCACCTATGGTGATATTTTGTAAGAAAGGAAAATTAAAAGTATGAATGGATCCTGCGAGTTTGAAACAAAATTTGAAAGAAGACTTGCATTATTCCTTAAGCATGTTGAAAAAGATAACGGCATGTATCAAGAGTTCAAAGGTTTACTGTTTTGGACTGTAAGATTGTCTTGATTCCAGGAAGTTCCTAGGAAGCGAACAAGCAGTTATCCTACTACGGCTACTCCCTGGAAACAATATTCATTTCTATGAATGCCAATATATATTTCTTCAGGTCTAGAAGTGTTCCAACAGATCGAGAAACATCTACTAAAAAAGATGCAAAAAGTAGAATGTGACATAGATGACATGATCATCCATGCAGCCACCAAACAGGAATTAGAAGACAAGCTAACAGCTAAGGTTATAAAGATTCTCCGCGATGCAATATTAATTAACACTCAACAAAAACAAATGTGGTTTTCCAGAAAGGAAGTCAAGTTTCTTGGGCATGTAGTTATGGATACAGGACTGAAAGCAGACCCAGAGAAAATAAAGGTGGTTAGTCAGCTAAATGTGCCACACGACGTCCCTTCGCTTCAGCGATTTTCTGAATGGTCATTTATTTAGCCAAGTTTATTCCAAACCTTTCAAAGATTACTCATCCACTCGGACAACTATGCAATAAAAATATTGCCTCGGTGTGAGGGCATCAGCACGAGTCAGCAGTGAATAGGCTGAAAGAATTGTCAAAGAGTTTGCCAACCATAACATATTTTGATGTTATGCTCCAGTTACATTATCGTTGGCGCAGGTAAGCATGCCATTGGTGCTGTCTTGATGCAAAAGGATCGACATAGTAAAGTTCGAACCGTGCCTTCCGATTTCCAGTCTGTCAAAAAGAACACCTTACGACTGCTTGATCATAGTTTATTTGAAAATGATTTACAATATACGAGGGTAATCCCAAAAGTAAGGTCTCCTATTTTTCAGAAATACAAAGAAACGTTTATTTTCAATAATTTTTACACCATTTTAAAGCTTGACACATTTATCTATTTTTCTACATAATCGCCATTTTGGTCGACGCATTTTTGTAGGTGCTGTGACAGTTTTTGTATGTCCATGTCATACCAGCTCGCCGCCATGTCGTGTTAAATCGATTGAAATTCATCTCCAATTGATGGAAGTGTATGGTGAGTCGTGCATGGATGTCAAAAACATTCGCAAGTGGTGTAGGGAGTTTGCAACTGCTCCAACTGAAATTCACGACGAAGAAATAAGCGGGAAACCGTTAATTTCCGACGTAAGAGTCACGAAGGTTGACCAAATCATGCGTGATAATCCGCAGATCACTCTGAATGATCTCTGCATTTCGGTTCCTGGGGTTTCACGAAACACCATTCATAGGATTTTAACAGAAAAGTTGCAATATCGGAAGGTTTTTTCTTTTAACTATTTCCTCCCTGTGGGCTCTAAGAGGGCCTCATTTTGCAAGCCCATTATGCGTTCGGCCAGGCCCACAATGGGGCTGCTGGGTGGTGAGGGACGGGGCCCGACATATACGAACGGATCAACCCCCGAAAAATTCCTCGGGATTTTTCGACCCGTTCGGATTCGAACCCGAGTCCCCTAGAGCGGTAGGCTGCCACCTTGACCACTCGGCCATCCGGCCGCAATATCGGAAGGTTTGAGCAAATGGGTCCCGCAACATGGAGGCGAACTGCTATCACATGGGCATACAAAAACTGCTACAACGCCTACAAAAATGTATCGACCGAAATGGCTTTTATGTATAAAAATAGATAAATGTTAAAGCTTAAATATGATGTAAAAATTATTGAAAATAAACGTTTCTTTGTATTTCTAAAAAAATAGGAGACCTTACTCAAAAGTAAGGTCTCCTATTTTGTACCCTCGTAGACATAACAATGTATCTGGCTTGCTTCTAACAACACAGTCTTAAGCTAGGCTCTTTCTATAACGGTTGCGTTTCCTTATATCAAATTTTTAGATCCTTTGGCCGACCAATACGGAGATACGCTGATCTGAGCTTCTGTCAGATCCGCCTTGGTTGGCATAACTGTCTCGACTCGTCGAACCGAACTTTTCTGGAAAACGTGTTCCGATGAGTTGAACTTGACTTATCTTGTTACCTCTCAAAACCTCCTTGACAGACACGTTGCGTATGCAGCTAAAGCACTACATAAAACACAGCATAACTACTCACAGATCGAAAAAGAAGCGTTTGTTATTAAATTTGGTTGTTTAAAGTTCCACCAGTATATCTGGGGATCCAAATGTTTAATGATCAAAACTGATCATAAGCATCTTATATCAATTTCAAAAACCATTGCACTGCATTCCACCAAGGTTGCAGAGAATAATGTTTGATATTATGCCATATTGAACAAGGATGGAGTATAAAGAGTGAATAGAAATGCATATTGCCGATACCATGAGTCGGGACTGTAATTTAAGCAACATCGATGAGATGCCACAAAGCCAAATCGAAGTGTATCTGGTTCTTTCATTCACGAAGTCTCTGATAATAGAAATGACAGTAAAAAAGCTTTCTCTATTGAATACGGGATGGAAGGCCTGAAAACATTTGTAATGCCCCAGTGTTTAAAAAAGTATATTCTCTTTAGAGGTAATCATATACTTATCCCTCCTAGTCTAAGACAATTAACTTTAGGGCTTATACATGGGTATCTTACACTATCTTACAGTTTGGGTATTCAGCGTTCCGTTAGCAGAGATAGAGAACGTGTCTACTGATATGGTATGAATAATGATATTAACTTTGTTAGAAAGTGTGCAGTTTGTCAACGATACCAAACAGATCAGCCGAAAGAACCGACTATTCTTCACTAGATACCAGCGAGATTATGGCGAACCATTTTAACGTTGATAACATCGGCCGTAATTTCTATTAGTACCCTGAATAACTGAATAATACGGCTAATAAAAGAAACTATTTCATTAGCCGTCATTTATATCTCTACCCACTATTTAGTGGGTAGAGATATAAATGACGATAAATATTATATATTTGGAACGTCGCGCGTGATTTCACTGACGTTCCAAACTCCATTGTCAAACTTCTAGACTTACAGGATGGGGGCGCGCTGAACGTCCGACGTACACGTTTTCGCATTGAAAACGTCGGCAGCAATCTCAATTTTCGTAAAACAATTATATGAAAATTATTGAAAAAATTAAATAAAAATTGAAATTTTACTGTAATTCTGGTGAAATTTTTGCTGTAGCTATCGAACCACTCTTCTTCAGAAAATATTTCATCCAGTGTTTCGCGTATTTGTTTGGAATAACTTTTCACCTAAAAATATGTCATAAAACAATTTAATAAAATATTTCATTGCTATAAAGTTACATTACAAAATTAGAACTACTAGTTTACCTCATTAAGGTCATCATTTTTATTCATGGATTTTATCATCAGGTAGTTCACTCCCATGTCAATATACATACTCTTATCTTGAACACAAGTTTTCCATTTCAATTTATTCATACCCGGAAGTGGTCGAAAAATGGTGTCATAATAATTTAAAGATTGTCTCATATCGATTAAAAGTTGTCTAAAACTGTTGTCGATGCGAGGCAAATAACGAACAATTATACCCCATACTTGCAAGTTATATATTATTCTGTTTAGAAGAATTGATATCAATAAAAGTATATAGTATAGATTACAGTAGTTAGTTAAATATAAAATTAATTTTACTGATGTAAAATTTACTTTTTATAATCTTATATCTTTAGTGTTCAATTATCGTATTGCTAATTAAACTGAACTGATATGATTTTTCAATATACAATCATAACAGGAATCTTAATTGATTACAAAAGTAAACAATATTTTATTTCATAAAATCTAATGAAAATTTTTAATAATTGAAAAATAAATCTATTAAATACTTGAAAAATATTAACAATTAGCTGTAATTAGCTAAAATGAGAAATACGAGTAGTCTCAATTTTAATAATTATGTTGAATTGGTAACAATAGAATTAACGAGAACAACAGATGGAAAGTTAGTCCCAATTATGAAGTTACTTATAAAATTCTAAATATTCGGATCAAATTCTAAACCAGATCCCCAGAAAGAAACGAACGATTTATTGTGTACTCAACAGTCTTTGACTCGATTGGTTTAAAGTGATTGTATAATAACTTAAATAATGTTTTCATGATAATAATTAAATGTTCTCACCTTTTATTTTTAGTGTTTCCAATAAGTTCACATAGGTCAGTCAAGAATTCCATGCTGTTTACTTTTAAAAAAATTTGATCATTATATTCTTCTGGGTGTTGAAGATATTCAAATAAAAACATGAACAGATTCTTCCAGTCGATCTGAGATTAAGTTATATAATAATTAGAGTTAATAGACATAAAATTATTGCTATTTATAAATTTGTTCTACCTGTGAGCAGTTGGAATGTAATTCTGATATCGTTGTATTCGTTGAATTATCATCATAGTCTTTATCTAAAATCTACACAAAATTTAAAATTATTTTAAGTATGGAAACAATTTAAAATTTTAATTTAATTAACAAAGATCAATATTTCTATTTACTCTTGCTACAGACGTTTGAAAGTCAATTATTTCATCAATATGCTTCTTATTTTCTGTTGACAAATCTAATTCAGAAAGTACATAGTCTATCAAATGTACATATCTTCCTTTAAATTTAATCCACTTTTCTTCAGTTGTATTCAATAATACAGCTGGTCTAATTATATTACTCTCAACATATATCTGTAATTGGATGAAATGAAACATGTACAGTACAACATTTTACTATATATATTACGTAAATCAATTAACATAATTTATAATTAGTATAAATGTAAAATTGCACATTAATTTAGTTAAATTTATTAACATAATTAGCTTTCAATCTTCAGATGAAAACAAGCCACGTATCAGAAACGATTTTATGATAGTGGCGTAAAGGAAAGTCTCTAATACCTATTTTCCTAATTTTCATATCGATTTATTTTCAAAAACACTTATTTCTTAATGATTTATTTATAGAAGTTAAAACCGAAACAGAATAATAAAAACGATTGCTGTTCATTTTTCGAGACAAATAATTTTAACTTTAGTTCATGACATTAAATTCTAAAACATTTCTTCACAGAAAAATAGACGTACCGTATTACACATTTATCATGAGGTACATCATGCAGCACATACATCATATAGTATATATAAATCTTCCCACTGAATATTTGAGTAATTTTATGACTGAATACACATTTTACATAAAATTGATAAATGCACAATCAGTATTATTACAGACAATCTTATAGAAAATAGTTTGAATAAGAAACTAATAATAAAACTATTCTAAAATTATACTTTTCAAGAATAATGAAAATTTAAAATCATTAGAATCAAATTTTCTTTACTGTGAGATTTGTCTGTTTAATCAAATATTTGTGCACTTTGGCCAATAAGACCATATTTATATTTGTCATTTTGAATTTATCAAGTTCTCAATGCAATTAGTCATTTTTAATACATGATGGGAAATGATGTCGCAATTTGAAATATTCAAGAAAAGTCAAGGATGCAAACTTTAATCTACATAGAAATAGCAAGATATCTCAAAAATCGCTCTAAATACGGTAGATGTTTATCCGTTTGATTATGTATATCATTATGTGCCTAACATTGTCAACACAAGGTTAGGCACAGAGCCGTTAAGCTGAATGCTTACTTTTCTGAAAGCAAAACGTCTTATTTAGAANATTTTCTGGGTGATATAGTAAAACATTATATTAAGAATAATTAAATATTTTATTCGTTATATCGTACAATAATTAAACAAATAACATTATACTAGTCACTAGTCTATTAGATGCAGTACGAATTTGGCGTTAGTCTTTGTCCTCGGCATCAAAATTTTGTAGTGAAGGGGGTACTATGTAACGGTTTTATTGAAGGGGGCGACGATTCGTTAGAGGTTGAGAAACACTGATCTACATGGAGATAGCCATCTACATGGAGATAGCCAAGTAGATTAAAGTTTTTTGGCCAAGCGGTCTTCGTACCCTAAACACTGGTTGTGGGTTCGCGCCTCGCTCGGACAGNTTGTATTCGTTGAATTATCATCATAGTCTTTATCTAAAATCTACACAAAATTTAAAATTATTTTAAGTATGAAAACAATTTAAAATTTTAATTTAATTAACAAAAATCAATATTTCTATGTACTCTCGCTAAAGATGTTTGAAAGTCGATTATTTCATCAATATGCTTCTTCTTATTTTCTGTTGACAAATCTAATTCAGAAAGTACGTAGTCTATCAAATGTACATATTTTTCTTTAAATTTAATCCATTTTTCTTCAGTTGTATTCAATAACACAGCTGGTCTAATTATATCACCTCCATCATATATCTGTAAATGGATGAAATGGAAACTTTACAGTACATTTTACTATATATATATTATATTACATCAATTGATATAATTTATAATTAGTATAAATGTAAAATTGCAGATTAATTTAGTTAAATTTATTAACTTAATTAGCTTTCAATCTTCAGATGAAAACAAGCCACGTATCAGAAATGATTTTATGATAGTGGCGTAAAGTTTCTAATACTTATTTTCCTAATATTCATAACGATTTATCTTCAAAAACACTTATTTCTTAATGTTTTATTTACAGAAGTTAAAACAAAACACAATGATAAAAAAGATTGCTGTTAATTTTCTGAGAGACAAATAATTTCAACTTTAGCTCATTTCATTAAATTCTAAAACATTTCTTAACAGAAAAATAGACATACATCATGCAGTACATACATCATATAGTATATATGACGCAAATATTCATTGGAAAGATGTATACAGTATATGAGTAATATTATAACTGAATACTCATTTTACATACCGCCGTAGTATAAAATTGATAAATGCACAATCAGTATTATTACAGGCAATCTTATAGAAAATATTTGAAACTAATAATAAAACTATTTTAAAATGATACTTTTCAATAATAATGAAAATTTAAAATCATTAGAATCAAATTTTCTTTACTGTGAGATTTGTCTGTTTAATCAAATATTTGTGCACTTTGGCCAATACGACCATATTTATATTTGTCGTTATGAATTTATCAACTCAACACAATTAGTAATTTCAATACAGAATGGGAAATGATGTGGCAATTTTAAATATTCAAGAAAAGTCAAGAATGAAAACTTTAATCTACATGGAGATAGCCAAGTAGATTAAAGTTTTTTGGCCAAGCGGTCTTCGTACCCTAAACACTGGTTGTGGGTTCGCGCCTCGCTCGGACAGGCTGGCCACGTGGAGTTTTCCGGGTTTTCTGCACGTCTGTAACATTTATATAGGTCCCAGTTTCCCTTAAAAAGACCTCTGAAGGCATCTCCCCTAAGCAGATCGCTTAAGTGTTGTGTTGCCGTTGCCATAACTTAAACAACAACAAGATGTTTCAAAAATCGCTCTAATTACGATATATGCTTATCCGTCTGAATATGTGTATTGTAATGTATGAATACCTAACAAGGTTAGGCAGAAAGCCACTAAAGTTCAGTATTTAGCCAACTTATGTGCTAAAGATTCGCTTTAGCCTGTAAACTATTTTCCATCAGATGAGTGCATAAACCGATCTATACGCGCATAACTGTAAATATGAATTAGTAACAAATTACGAGGAATTCACGCATTGAATTTCAACGTTATAAAAAAATTTATATGTACAGTACACTATTAATCGTATGAAAAATAAATAGGCCTAATGTTCTTCAATGAAAATTGTTGCAATTTTATCAGTCTATTTTTAGGAAAATAAAATGCATTTATTACATCGCTTTTGAACGTTTATCGGACCTTCTAGGACTAGTCTACGGATTCCAGTTTGTTAAATGTTATACCCTTTCTTTGTTTCTTAAATTCCACGAATTTTGATTAAGCTATTTTTAAATAGGATTATTAAAATTATGCATTAAGTTTTATGCCTTTGTGTCCTTATCTTATAGTTTTGTACTTAAATTGCCTACAAGGACTTATTTATTACTAGGACTTATTATACCGGCTGATGAGGGACCGACAGGTCCGAAACACAATGATATTGTGTAACATGTGTTCAGGTAAAAATAAAGACTGTTTTTTCTGAATTGTTTTCTTAATTTGCAGAACCAGGTCACCGGTATAATAAGTCCTATTAATAAATAAGTCCTTGTAGGCAACTGTGTACGACTCTTGAATCGTTAAGAGATCTTTAATACCATACGAACTGTCTGTGATCCAGATGTGACAGCTGTAAAAAGTTAAATATCTCGTCTCTAGTAAATATAGCTTTGTCTGAAAAGAGAAATTTGAAGAGGAACTAGTGCATATTTGCCTACATATGTGCACATCAATCGCAAACGTCTATTCGCCGTAAGTAATTTATGATTTAACGTCGAAGTGGTAGGAATATGGATCATCGTCATTCAAAATTCTACATGTGACTAACTGTTCCAACGCTGAGATCCTCTGGAACTTTGTTATTTCAGGTGTTCTCTACCTGATACTAAAAACGAGAAATTCTTACTTTTGATGACTGAAGGGACACCGTACATAAAAAAAGGGTAAAATCTTCAGATTATTGCCCTCGTTTGCTCACGGTGTAAATCGAATAGCTGAAGAAACCAGATCTTGCTTCCCTGAAGTGGACGCAAACTGTTCGTGCCATACCCAGAGCTCAAATAGCTGCGGTGAGTCTAACAGTGCTGAAGATCCCTTTAACATTTGTCCATTTGTCTTTTCTAAGCTGAAAAAACCCGTATTGGTACTGAAGAAATTGCTAGATACTTCAGCATATGCGCAAAGAAGAATATCATCCATAGCGAATGACATCGGAGCAGACTGACCACGCAGAGAGACAATGTGCTGAACAACAATTACGGTTAATATCGATTCAGAAAATACAGCTTATCCTTTTTGAACATATTAATACAAAGTATCAGAGGAACTAATCTGTTGACATTGCTAATCTCAATTATCCTTCTGTATTATAAAAGTGTCTTTTTTCTACTTAAAGGCCGGTACTAATAGATAAACAGGAAAGCTTTGTAATGGAAATTCTAGAAAAAATGATAATAGTATACAGTTTTAAACAAAAGTCAGTTTTAAAAAGACTAGTAACATCACTAACATAATATAATGGTTATTTCAAATTTTTACATTGCAGAATTCGTATATTTGTAATAGGTTTACGTAAGAAATTAAAGATTTTATTGCATATTAAAACGCATGTTCGTTCAGTTTAAGAGCATAAGATAACTGCATATTTATTAGTGTTTCAGTGCACGTAATTTTCAGACTTAGTTATAACTATTAACTAATATTTCTGTTTCAATATTTATCTTATATCGTAAAAATTTATATTAATTTTTGTATTATATAGAAAAAAATTAAAATTTGTTTAATTAATTTCATAAAATTAAAACATTTCGATCACAGATATAAAAATCAAGTTTGATCCGAGTACAGAAACAATATATTTCTCACTTGAATAAAATGTTTAATTATTAAGTGTTATTTAATTTTAAAATGCGAGTAAAAATAATTATGATAACAGTTTATAAGTAAATAATTTATTGATAACGTTTTTGCAAATTACTAAAAATTATTAAAACTTATAGTAACGAGTACAATTACAGTTACAGATACCTGTATGTAAGAGTTGTTTGGACTACTTCTTAAACTAAACAGATTTCCAGTGCCGTCGTACGCGTATGACAATGCTATAGCTTTCTCCATTGTTAATTTTGAATTATCGTTTTCAGACAGAGGCCAACCGTCTAAGTTAGCTGCACTTAAAATTTCGTGAATTGCCTCTTTTGTGTCACTAGCTGTAATTTAAATACAGAATTATTAATTATTCTCATTTAATTAATTTATTTATTCAAAATCATTGTAATACGTACGTTTATTTAAACACGATTTAAAATATTTCTTTACTTTTTTGACGAAAGCTGGATCATCGAATTTCTCTGGCTTCTCCAATTGTTCTGTATTTATATTTATTACACGTAAATTACTATTCCACTTATTAAAATTACTATTTAAAATAAAACATTACTTGCCTTTTATTAAATAAATGATATAATTTTCTAAATTTGTAAAACTACGAATTTCATCGTCGAAAATATTTTCGTATTTTAGATAAGAACCGCATGAAAATTCGTAAAAGTTGTCGCATGGATTTACGGTGAAGTCCATATTCTTCAGAATGGAACCAGCTGAAATTATTAAGACTTCTCTAAACAAAGTACATCGAGTTTATTAAAATGAAATGTTATTTAATTATAGTTTTTTATTTTGTTTCATTATGGTTTGTACAATGTGTTTCATCTATTTTAGTCAATCAAGTTTAAAATCTATAGCACTTAAATACTTCAGCATTTCTTGCGGTAATTGAAGTGAAAACACTAAAACAAAAAATAATTGGCTGTTGGTGGTATATTCACTATTAAATCGATTGACACTGATATTGTCGTATATTTTCTAAATGACATTAAATTAATACTTAAAAAATAGTAACTTCTTACTTCTTGCTTAAAGATATTTAGTTACTGTAACTGTATAAAGTATTTTGAATTGAAAATTTGTTTGAATGTGTAAAATCTTAATACTTAGAAAATGAATTTATTTGTTTTTAAAATCAACCGATATTCTCTAACTTCCACTAATATTCTGTTCATATGAATTTCTTACATATTTACGACTATAACCACTGTCAAATTATTAATAAATGGATCACATAACTTTCGAAAGAGGACAATAACGAGAACAAGTATGGTGACCGGTAATTTGGAGTCATGTTTGTCTTGTCTTTCTTAGCACAAACGAGAAACAGAAACGGTTAACATCATTTATTACATAACGATACTAATTCGTTATGTAGCTTATTAGAAGAATCTTATCTTCTTGTCTAGTCAATGTGGTATAGAATTTTTGTTTTTGAAAATATATATAATACTAATTTAGTAATTAAATAGAAATATATGTTCGAAATTCACAATAGCAGAATAAACGATCGCATAGTAATAGTATATAAAGAAAAATAAGTCTCACCTGAAAATTTGCATACGTTACTTATGCAAACATCTTTCTTTGATTTTTGAAATATATCTATAAAAAATTAATAATTCTAATAAATAAATAAATAAATAAAAATTTGTTATATCTGATACAATTTAATTACACATAAAATAAAAGTGTTTATTTATGATATGATAATTATGATAGGTGTATTAAACAATAAATTGTACATGGATATACTTATGAAAAAATAATAGCGGTATTGTTTTGTCTTGGACTATCATAGAGAAAGATAATCGTAGCGACAGTTTTCCTGTAAAAACGAACGCAGAAGTAGTAAAGTAATACAACAGAAGTTCCATGTTTGCAAATAGTTATGTTCTGCAAAACTGCCACCGTTAGGATTAGAGGATTGATAAAAATAATTAAAATAAATTAATAATTAAAATTAATCATTAATTTAAAATTTTTAATAATTAAAAATTTACGTTTAATCATTAATTTAAAATTTTTAATAATTAAAAATTTACGTTTAATCATTAATTGATAAATTAATAATTAAAAGCAAAAGGACATTTTCATACAAAAATCGTATATTTATTTTATAGTAAAAGAAAAGAATAATTATTACATTCTTTGGGAGTAAGCACAAAATTGCTACATACAACTTATGATACAGGAACACTTTTTGATGAATAATATAACTTTATTTCGTACAAAGGAAATGCATTAAAGTCTATATTATTCAAAGAACAAAATCATATTATTACAACTCTATTATACCGATTATCAATTTAAAAAAAAAATGTATATTATTCCGAAAGAACAAAAGAGAGAACAAGAAGCAATCAAGTACTAATAATTATTACAGTTTGCATGTACTTGTTTATTGTCAAAAACGTACAGTTTTCGACTCTTTTCCTTTTATTTATTTATCTAAATTCTTGCGCTAGTTCTTAGCAACAACACACACTCTCTGTTAAATTTAAAACATTCGTTTACAAATTTTAAATTATTCAGGCAGCCCATTTCTTAAACAGTATGAATTTAAACTTAGTTTATTTAACTAATAACTGATCAGTTAATATTTAAATAAATAAGATAAAACATTACTTCTTATTTTCTTATTTTTACGGATAAAACCACTCAAAAGATCATTCTTTGGTGACTTCTTCAATCTAGATTCCTAAGGCGTTTCTTATTTTTTCGGCGGTTTGCTCTCTGACAATCTCAATTATTATTCCTTGGGAGAAATATGCTACTTATTTTCTAATTTTTTTCCCTTAATGTATAGTTGATTCATTTATAACAAAGGACCGAACAACTATATCTGCTGATTCTATTTTTTGCAAATGATTTAGTTTTTTAATTTATTTATGAATGTCATTGATTTCTTTATCAATTCTTTAATTTTGCGGAAAAAAATTAACAAATATTGTTGATATTACGATAAAATGCAACGTTTATTATTTACGTCAGTGCTCGTACTAATGTTACTCAAGAAAATATTAAATAAATTTGTATTCACTAGAACTGAATAATAGTTTAAAACACGATTTAGCGTTGAACGCGCATAAGAAAAAAAGCATTTGGAGTGGTTTAACGTTTATTTTTTTATACAGATCTTCTACTACAACTTGTTTTTCCTTTATAGAGGTACTGTACATAATAAATTGTCTAATACACTATATCTATACAAACAAATATACGTCGTATAATAAATAAAATATCAGTAGAATAATTATGGATGAGATGCTCGACATTCTGCAAATAATGCTTTTAAATTTTAACATTTATATAAAAATGATAAATCTATATACTAAAGCATTGTTTTCCCATGTATTAAGTTTACACTAATATTAGCTCGTCGATAAATATATTACATGTAATTGTAAATAATATTAATGGTTCCACTTTGTTCGTTGTCTCTTCTAATACATTTCGTTTTATACTAACATCAGGAAACAGTCGATTCCGCTTAATTAATTAATTACGACATATCGGGACCTGAGTAATTTGTCCCGATTGAGTGGTTGTCCCAATAAAGCGAATTTTAAGGAAAATCTAAACTGAAAAATGAATTATGAAGATAAAACTCATTTATTAAAAAATAATTAATATTCAGTGTTTTGTACCGTACTTACATTACGGTGCGTATGTGTAAATAAATTCAAGTTTAAAAAGAACTTATTAAAATGTAATTATTAAACAAAAATAAGAACTATTATTTTTGCAAAAATTTATCAAGCGTGCCTACAATGCTATTTCTTTAGAATTTGAAAATGAACAAAATCGGCGCTCACTTCCATCGAAAAACTAAGATCTTCATTTGAATCTTTCATAAAATACCATCTTAGTTCAATAATAAATAATTGATCTTTAATTGTTTTAATTAATAAGATATTCCTAATCAATAAGACTTGATCAGGAGTATCATTTCTTCACTATACTTTATGTTTTAAGTGTTATTACGAAAGAACTTGTTCAATTATTGCATCTATACAATGCTTATTTTCACTGCAACATAGGAGGTTTTTATCACCGTATAAATATTCTTTGTGAAACGCCCAGAAACATCTTAAACCTGCTTTCCACGTTTATATACGAGCGTAAGCTGTCCCAATAAAGCAGCGGGATGTCCTAAATAAACGAAGTAAATTTGCCTTATATTATTTTTTTTGTTTTCGTCTTTTAATGTATGTCCCTAATAAGTGGCTGTCCCAATTACCCGGAATGTATCAATACTTTATTCTTTAAATTAGTACTTACTTTGAAAATGTAATAAAACACCAATCATGACAAGAAAGGCAATAAAAATGACAAGACACACCAAAATAAGGTAACGCTCTAACAATGTTCTATTGTTCCAAATGGTGCATTTTCTGTAAAACAAAATTATTTTCGTAATAATTCCTGTTNTTAAAAGCAAAAGGACATTTTCATACAAAAATCGTATATTTATTTTATAGTAAAAGAAAAGAATAATTATTACATTCTTTGGGAGTAAGCACAAAATTGCTACATACAACTTATGATACAGGAACACTTTTTGATGAATAATATAACTTTATTTCGTACAAAGGAAATGCATTAAAGTCTATATTATTCAAAGAACAAAATCATATTATTACAACTCTATTATACCGATTATCAATTTTTAAAAAAATGTATATTATTCCGAAAGAACAAAGAGAGAACAATAAGCAATCAAGTACTAATAATTATTACAGTTTGCATGTACTTGTTTATTGTCAAAAACGTACAGTTTTCGACTCTTTTCCTTTTATTTATTTATCTAAATTCTTGCGCTAGTTCTTAGCAACAACACACACTCTCTGTTAAATTTAAAACATTCGTTTACAAATTTTAAATTATTCAGGCAGCCCATTTCTTAAACAGTATGAATTTAAACTTAGTTTATTTAACTAATAACTGATTAGTTAATATTTAAATAAATAAGATAAAACATTACTTCTTATTTTCTTATTTTTACAGATAAAACCACTCAAAAGATCATTCTTTGGTGACTTCTTCAATCAAGATCCTAAGGCGTTTCTTATTTTTTCGGTAGTTTGCTCTCTGACAGTATGACAATACCATAGCTTTCTCCATTGTTAATTTTGAATTATCGTTTTCAGACAGAGGCCAACCGTCTAAGTTAGCTGCACTTAAAATTTCGTGAATTGCCTCTTTTGTGTCACTAGCTGTAATTTAAATACAGAATTATTAATTATTCTCATTTAATTAATTTATTTATTCAAAATCAATGTAATACGTACGTTTATTTAAACACGATTGATAATATTTCTTTACTTTTTTGACGAAAGCTGGATCATCGAAATTCTCTGGCTTTTCCAGTTGTTCTGTATTTGCATTTATTACACGTAAATTACTATTCCACTTATTAAAATTACTATTTAAAATAAAATATTACTTGCCTTTTATTAAATAAATGATATAATTTTTTAAAATTGTATGATCGCGAATTTCATCATCATAAATATATTCGTATTTTAGATAAGAACCGCATGAAAATTCGTAAAAGTTGTCGCATGGATTTACGGTGAAGTCCATATTTGTTAGAATGGAACCAGCTGAAATTATCAAGACTTCTCTAAACAAAGTACATCGAGTTTATTAAAATGAAATTTTATTTAATTATAGTTTTTGATTTTGTTTCATTATAATTTGTACAATGTGCTTCATCTATTTTAGTGAATCAAGTTCATATCTATAGCACTTAAATACTTCAGCATTTCTTACGGAAATTGAAGTGAAAACACTAAAACAAAAAATAATTGGCTGTTGGTGGTACATTCACTATTAAATCGATTGACACTGATATTGTCGTATATTTTCTAAATGACACTAAACCAGGGGTCGGCAACCTTTTGAGTCGGAAGAGCCAAAAATTACAATTTACAAAATTTCAAAGTTTTTAAAGAGCCACAAAATTTTTTCTTGCCAACAATAAATAGTACTCGCATAAATAAAGTTTTTTGAAAAAAACTAATCTATTTATTCAAAATTGTCTTGCGTCGAAAGCGAATTAAACCTCATAGAAACATCCGACAACGGCGTCATTCGAGAGCTTCCGACGGACTGAC